CAGGAGTCACCAGGTTAATTTTACACAGTTTGGTCACCTCTGTGAGTGGGGAGGAATTGCCCCCAGGAGGATGGCAGAGCGTTTCCAGGAGTCAGACTTTTGTTTAAGCCATGTGTGGGGAGACTCCTGATGTTTTCCACACCAGGATGGAGCTGATCATTCCCTTCTTTAGCTGCCTTGGCTGTGTAAGGGTTTGGGCACGAGGGCTTTGATGATTTGGGAATTTGAGGATTTCTGGACACCAGGTTACCCCCAGTGGGCAGAGGCCTGACTGTGTCCTCTGGGTTTCTCCTCGCTCTCCCATTTTTGGTTGGTTTTGTGTTTCAGGAGACCAGTAACAGTCCTTGGGGGTGGTGGGGTGAAACGTGCAGCCCTGCTGCCTGTCAGTAATCCCTTCCTGCAAACCCTGCCAGGAATCTGCCCTGTCCTCATCCCCTCCTTGGCAAGTTCCAGTCCCAGGTCCCCGCTGCTCCCAGGCTGTGTTTGTAGCAGTGACTTTGTGCAGGACTTCCACCTTCAAAGCCACCCCGCGGTGTCCCTTCCTCCTCAGGCCCCAGTGTCCCTGAGGCTTTTGTCTGTCAGCAAACACCCTTGTTCAGTATGAGTTAAAGGGCTGAGGAAGCCTCTCTCCCCCTGCAGATCCTCTAGGATTGCTCCAAGAATCTCCCTCTTCTTTTAAGAGTGTCCGTGGCCCCAAGGCACAGGTACCCCCAGCTGAACCCTTCCCAACCTGGGCCATGTCTCTGCTCAGTGTCCTGCAGGATTTTTCTCAGGCTGGGGGCTCCCAGGAGCACTGAGGAGGATCCACCACAGAAGCACAGTCAAAAGTACCAGGTTCTGGCCAACTCTTTTGTTGCAAATGAGGCCGAGGGCCAGCCCTGCCCAAAAAAGGCCTTTGCAGAAGGGCAGGCAGTGAGTGAGGAGGTTTCTTTACTTTATTTGTTCCCCTTTTTGAGAACCACCACTTGAAAAATGTTCCAGACAGAGCAGCCTTTGCTCTCCACAAACTCCAACCTCGCTTCCTCTGCAGAGCTGCAGCCCCACTGATGCCAGGCTCTCTCCCAAGCAGGAGCTGCTGCTCCACGGGGAGGTTGTTGCTCCATGCAAGGAAAATGGGGAGCCACATGTGCACTCCCAGTTCCCTCAGGAACTGCTGCTTTCAGCTATGGGTTTTACCAGCCTCATTGTAAAACACTTCTTCCCTATATCTGATCTAAATCTCCCCTCTTTTAGCATAAAACCATCACTCCTTGTCCTATCATAACAGGCCTTGCTAAAAACTCTGTCCCCAGCCTTCCTTTAGGTCCTGGCAGGGGCTCTGAGCTCTCCCTAGAGCCTTCTCCTCTCCAGATGAGCACCCCCAGCTCTCCCAGCTTGGCTGCAGAGCAGAGGGGCTCCAGTCCCTGGAATATCTTCATGGCCTTCCCCAGCAGGTCCACCTTGCTCCTGTGCTGATCCAGAAGCTGCTGCTGCCTCCTGGCCCTTTCCCCGGAGAGCTGCAATTCCACTGATCCTACAGGGAGAGCATCCCTGCATTTGTGCTGCTCAGAGCAGGGGCAGAGAAATTTTGAGGAAGAAATTTTGAGACTCTCAGTTGCTCATTGCTGCCTTGTGCAGTGCCTGAAATTGCTCTTTCTGAGCCTGTTTTCGTGTGTGTGACGGGGGGACTGAGCTGATCCTCCTGAAAAGCCCACTGAGATTTGCTGATGGCTCTTTCCATGCCTAAGCACCCGTAAAGCCAGGCAGTGTTCTCGTTTGGCTGCTGCATTGTGCAGCCATGGCCACACAAAGCCATTTCCCCATACGAAACCGCCGTTTCCTTTCAGTAAAACTCCCAAAATACATCCCAGTGACACAACCACGGCACCGGGGCTCGGGCGCCGCTCGGGCTGCGAGCTCAGGAACCAGCTGGGGAAGGATGGCAGGATAGCAGCCCAAAGCTTTGGAGATGCTGAGGCTCCTCTTCCGCAGCAAGCCAAGGATCCAGGAGGCAAGTGTCTGATAAAATACCTGCTCTGCCTGCCGTGCTGGGCTCTGTCTCTTCTGCAGGACACAAGGAATCAGGGAATTCCTGATCCTACAGAGCCAGACCTTATCCAGGTTTAATTAGGCACTCTTTTGGAAAAGGCATTTTGGAGGGTATGACTGCTTTCTAAGAAGTGTCTTTCCTAGGTGCTGCCAGATTTTGGGAGTGTTTTGGGACCAGAGCATGTGTTGAAGCAACAGAAATTAAAACAGCTTCTGGTTAGTTGTTGATGAATAGGAAGCAAAATGCCAAGAGCAGAATCTGTTTCGAGCTTTTGCAGGGTGGTTTTTTTTTCTTGCATTTAGATGTGACGGTCTCAACCAGCAAAGTGACAAAACGCGAGCAAAAACAAACCTGTCTCTTGGCTTCTGGCTTGTAAAATCCTCCCTCACAAAAAAAGGGGGAAAGTAGCAAACAGGACTTGTATTTGGAAGTTGGGAAAACCCCCTGTTCCTCTGTGCACAGCCCCTGCTCTGGGTGACTCAGCCGCCTGTGCCCTGCGAAGGCGGCACAGGGAGGTGCAGGACTTGTCTCCTCCTCTGACTGGAGCAACTTCCTGGGCTTTTATTTTCCAGGAGAAGCCAATCTCATTCCAGCAGTGCAGGAATCTGTGGGAAATGCCTCTGTGGAGGCTGTGGGTGGCAGCAGGTGCTGGGAGCCCCCAGGAGCAGGGAGAGCTGGACCTGCAGAGGTCCGAGCTTGTGGGAATCCAACCCTCCCACCCCAACCCAGGCAGGGGCTGGGGCCTGGTCTGAAGGAGCCAGGATGGAGCTGCTTTCCTGGTGGGTGGGAGGGATCCCTGGGCCAGGATCTGCTGGGGGTCTTGTGATCACTTTTCATTCAGGAAGCTGTGGCTTTGGCAGATTTGTCACCCTGCTGCTCCTGGAGCAGTGGGACAGTCCCCCTCTCCAGATGCTCCCCCTGCAAGGGCACAGCAGTGCAGAGGTGACTGCAGGGGCCCCTTCAATCTGATTTGGTCCTGGAGCTGAAAATCAGTTAATTCTTTGCTCTAATCTCACTGTTCTCACGCAGCTCCTCCCTTCCTCAGGGCTTGCTTTTCCTTCTCTTCTCCCTCTCAGTAGCTCCTGTCCCACCTCCAGGTCACCTGGAGTTTATCAAATCAAATCAATACAAATTTATTTACTGGGACCAAGTGCTGTCCTGGAGCCACCACACGGCTCAGAATCACATCCTGAGGAGCAATGGCTGGTGAGACACCCCCAGTGGCTGTGAACAGCTCACCTGGTCTTACCAAACAAATTCTTTGGGAAAACTTTCGCAGACAATCACAGCCCCTCTGTGCTGACGTTTGTTTGTTGTCCCACAGGCAAAGTCTGACATCACTTGGATAGAGAAAGACCTCGTGGACTCGGCAGACAAGGTAGGAGAGCTGCAGTGGGCACCTCAGGGAGACTCATCTGTTTCATTTGCATTCTGTCCCACACGCGAGGGCGTGAGCAGACTCGCAGGGACCTCTCTGAAAACCAAACCCTTTCCTGCCTGCCTCCCCTGCCAGCCCCTCTCAGCTCTGTGGGACTGCTGTGCAGAGAGCAGCTATTGCTCACTTGCTCATGTGACATCCTGGACTTGATTTCATCCTCCTCCTCCTCCTTCCTCCCCACACCAACCCCCTTTCCGTGCTGCCATTTATGTCTCCTGTGGCTTTCTGATCTTGTCAGTGAGCCAGGACGGGCACTTTTGGTTGCGTGGATGTACAGGGGAGATTTTCTTGCCTTTCTGAGGCTCCTCTCCCACGCTGGTAACACAACATGAAAAATTGTCTGGGTCATAACGAGATTTATCAGCTCCTGCCAGGCCCAGGCACTGGGAGTTTGCTGCTCCCCCACACTGAGAACACGGAGCTGCTGTGGAATGGGTGCTTCTCTTGGGCAGCACGGGGTGGACAGGGTTTCTCCCTCCCTGGGCTGGGTCAGAAGGCAGGAGGTGTTGGTGTGAAGCAGGTCTTGCTGTGCCAGCAGCTGCAGGTGCTTTTCCATGCTCTGGCACCTGCCCCAGCCCCTGGAGCTCAGGGGCACCGTGGTGGGGCTGGGCCCAGCTGCCTCACTGCTGTTCAGTCATTTGTTTCTTTCGTTATCAGTTCTCAAATAGCACGTGGTGGGGGCAGAGGGGGCAAGACAGTCATAATTTCTCTCTGGTTCCATCCTCTGCACTCTCAGGAGAAACTCAGAAATCAGCGCTGACACGGGGCTGTTTCCTTTTGTGTGGGTGCCTTTTGACTCATTTCAAGGGGCTTCTTTCTTACCAGCACCCTCTGGGGTCTTGCTGCAGGAAACATCTGTCTGTCCTGATGGAAAGGTCAAAGGTGAACAGGTTTGGAGGGGGAAGGAGGCAAAATAAGCCCTCTGAATACCTCTGCTCTGTCCTGCCTATAATCTGAGCCATGGTGGGCTCAGAAACAAGAAATGCCCTTAAAAACACCTTGTGGACCTTCAGGGTGGCTCTCAGATAACTCCAGACTCCACAGCAAGAACTCTTGTGCAGCATGAGGCAAGTGAAGGACTGAATGCCAATCTAAACCTTCCTGGAGAGATCCCATCATGGGTGCCCCCTCATCCCTGTGCCAGTGGAGAGCAGAGATGTGCAGCTCTCCAAGGTGTTGTCACACTTCTGGGTGGGCTCCTGTGAGTTTTTCTCTTCTGTTTTAGAGAGGAAAGTGGCTTCTCACGATTTCCCCTGTTGTGGAAATACCCAAAGCTCCCAGCCTGACATGAACTTCAGGCAGCATTAGATGGAAATCACTTTAAGGAGACTCTGTGTGGTTTCTATTGGTGTCTTGTCAGAGCCAGGGAACCCAAACGCCAGCGAGCAGCTGTGAGATTATTATTTTCTTAAAAGCAAACCTGAAAAAAAAAAAAAAAAGCCCCAACCACAAAGTTTTGTTGCTGGGGAGGGGGAGTGTGAACCTCTCGTGCGACCGAGTCTCGTCCCCACTGCGCATCCGCCGCCGGTGCAGCCACCTGCAGCTCCTGCAGCTCCTGCTGCTGCTGCTGCTGCTGCTGCTGCTGCTGCTGCTCCTGCAGAGCCCCGAGCCCGCAGCGGGGCCAGACAATGCTGATCGGGATGGGACAATGGAGAGGGACCCCAAACTTCCCCGTGTGTGGGCGTTCCTGACGCTCTGGCTGCAGAGGAAGCAGCGATCCAAGCCCTGCAGCCTGCAGCTGCCTGCCCCCAGCCAGCTCGCCAGCCCGGTCAGTACCGCTGCCACCTCTGCTGCCACCTCTGCTGCCATCTCCCGCTGCCACCTCCTGCTGCCACCTGCCTCTGCTTCCCTTCCTGCCGCTGGATGTTCAGGGCACTCTGGTTTGCTTTTCTTTCTCTGCCTTCTGGGATGGTTTGTTGTGGGGGCTCTGGAAGAAGCTGACCTCAGTGGCACACTGGTGGTTTTGTGCTGGAGACTTGTGTGTGCTGCCAGCCCAGGCTGTAGGAGCTCGTCACAAGAGTCCTGAGTGTTGAATTCCAAGCTGGTGGATGAGTCCATGAGGGAAAATCCTCCCTTGTGTCAGCAAGATGCCAAATGGCTTCTCAAAGTGTTTCTGTGGTAGGAGGATCACAGGATGGTCTGGGCTGGAGGGGACCTTACAGCCCCTCCAGTGCCACCCCTGCCACAGCAGGGACACCTCCCACTGTCCCAGGTTGTTCCAAGCCCCATCCAGACTGGCCTTGGACACTTCCAGGGATCCAGGGGCAGCCACAGCTTCTCTGAGCACCTTTGCCAGGGACCCTCAAAGGGAAGATTTTCTTCCTAATGTGTCTCTCCCTGCTGTGGGTTCTCTCTCTGGAAAGCTGAGCTGGCAGGAGGAGCTGAACTTGGCCAGCTCCTGCTCCAGCTCTGGAGGTGGGAAGCTGCTCCTCACAGCAGCTGTCTGCAGGGACTAAGCCTCCAGATGGACCCAGAAGTGCAAAGTGGCTGCTTTAAGCTGGGAGATCATCGGGAACACAAGAATGTGTTGTTTAAGGGATTAGGGGATCTTTCTTGCCTGTGATCACCAAGCCCAGGGAAAGGCAGGATAATGCCAGGGAGCTCCTGTGCCCCTGCCCTGAGTGCCTGAGCAGCACAGGAGAGAGCAGAGCTCCCACCATGGAAACAAAGCCACTTCCTAAACTGAGAAAAGCCCAGCCTGAGAGTGGAAGGGGAGGGAGCTCAGTGGGTGGGCAACCACATCCATGGGCACCAGAGGGTGGGAGTGGGCTGGGCAGGACAGGCAGGGCTGGCACCTGCCTCTGGCTGGCTTTAAAACCTGCTTTGATGAGGTGGTTCCAGACCAAGTGTCTGAATAGGTCTAGAAAACAAAGTGTAAGTTTTTTCCCCCACTCTGCAAGGGAAAAAAATGAATTGTAGTTCCAGCTTTCTGCAGCCTCTGCTGGCCACAGCTTCCTCAGGGCTGGGGACAGCAGAGTTTTATGCATTTTTGAACATAATTCCTGTCCTTTGGGTCCAAAAGTTTTGCTGGGAATAGGAGGTGTTTCAGCATCACCTCAGGGTCTGTGGCTGTGCTGGCCCAGATCCCTTGGTGAGTTCATTCTATTTATGCTGATTAAAGCTATTTTTTCTTCTTTATTTTTTTTAAGTAAAATAATGTGTTTTAAACAAAACATGTGCCAGAGACCTTGGCTTCCCCTCAATCTTCTTGAAGGCTGGAGTCTGTTAAAGCATCATCTGTATGTGCTGAAGATGCACTAAGACTTATGTTGCAGAGTTGCTCAGATTGCTGAGCAGATGGGCTCCAACATGTCTGATTTTTGCCAGCCCTGGCCCTGTTTTGACAACAGTGCCGTATTTTTTGTGTTGTGGGATTTTTAGTGGCATAAACACTCCTGTTTTTGCTACCAGTGCCTCAAAAAGGAAGGTGCTTCTCAAGCACTCTTCTGAAATGCAGTTCAAAGCAGCTCCTGTGGTTGGGAGGGAGGGCTCTGTATTTACCTGGTCCTCCCTACCCTGACTTATTGATTGCAGATGCTGATACCTGTGACAAGCACCAGCCTTCATGGTTCTCTCCCCCGTGGCTCCTGTGAGTCTGGAGCTGCAGTCCTTGGCCCATAATCCCTGAAGGCTGCTGGCCCTTGTCAGGAGTCCCTGCCAACCGTGTGCCCTCTGTTTCAGGGGGAAGGTGTCGTGCAGGAAATCAACATCACACACCATGTGAAGGAGGGCTCTGAGAAGGCTGATCCCTCACAGTTTGAGCTGCTGAAGGTGCTGGGACAGGGCTCTTTTGGCAAGGTGAGATCACTTCTTCCTATGTGCCACGCCAGGGAAATTATTCTGGTGACGAAAGGAACCATCCCCAACAAAACCACTTTCCTGACTCCCAGGAATGTTCCTGGGCATGTTCCTCCTTTCTCAGAACTGCTGCTGTGTGCCCCAGGCTGGGTTTGGCCCCTGTTTACGGTCCAGTTCTGTGAAGGAGGAAGGAAGTAGCCTGTAGCTCTTATCTATTTCAATAATCCAGGTCTCTTACAGACCATCTGCTGACACATTAAATCAGCTTGGTGTCAGTCAGTTACCACCTGACAGTGGGGGATTGGACAGGACTGTGTGCTGCTGCCTGAGCAAATGCAGCAGAGGCTTTGTAGAATCAGAGAAAAGCTGAAAAATACTTCTGGGGTCATCCAGTCCAACCAGTAGCACTGCCAAGCCCACCACTTGCAGGTGGTGTCCTTTTGATGCTCCCTAAAACCAGGTAGAATGAGACACCAGGGAAGGGTAGGAGATAAAACTCCAGAGTTGATGTGACTGACAAACCAGGAGGCTTTAGTGGTAAAGTGAAGCCCCAGTGCCTCCAGTCACAGCTCCCAGGCATCAGCCCCAGGGGAGCTGCAGGAGTCAGGAGGAGTGGAAGGCTGGAAAGGAGGAAAGTGCAACATGAAACTGAGGGGTGAGAGGAGTCCACACACAGCACTTCCCTGGAAACTCCATGGGAAAGCTTGAGCTTCTTAGGGACACTCTGGGGTTTGCCAATTTGGGAAACATCCAGCTCCTACTGCCAGTGTTTAGTACTTGGTGAATGTGGTGTTCTTCTGCCTCAGGTTTTCTTGGTGAGAAAAATAACTCCCCCAGACACCAACCACCTCTATGCTATGAAAGTGCTCAAGAAGGCAACACTGAAAGGTAGGAAGGAGACTCCTCCTGCAGTGCTCTGATCCTCTGTGACTTAAAGAGCACTGGGGAAATGTCACTGCTGGCCCTGGGGTGGGCTGGGTGAAAGAGAAACATCTTTATCCCAGCAAAACATCCTCCTTTTCTTTCATCTGTTTAAGAGCATCATGATGGAGGTGGGAAAACACCTGGCTCAAGGAGCCTGGTGCTTTAGGCTGGGATGGGGCTGGACACTGGCCAGGGCCTTTTCCTGTGTCTGAGCTGCTCCTCTCTTCCCACAGTGCGGGACCGACTGAGGACAAAGATAGAAAGGGACATCCTGGCTGATGTCAACCACCCCTTTGTGGTGAAACTCCACTATGGTGAGTGGGCCTCACTGGGCTGCTGCGAGAGGGGCTGCAGCTCCAGCAGACTCTGCCTGCCTTTAAACACAATCCCCTGAACACAAACCCTTTCCTGGAAGGATCTGTGGTCCCACTGCCTGCTCCAGCTAGGGAATGGGGAACTGAGCATGGACTGGGAGAGGAGGTTTAAACATCAAATCCCTGGAATTAAAACATTAAACCACGAGAAACTGAGAAAGCAGAGCTAACTAGCCAAGCTGGAGTTTGGCAGGGTTAATGCTCTGACTCTGGGGAAGGCAAGGACAGCTCTGTTCCTGTAAGGTGACCAGCACCTCTCCTGGGAAAACAGCCCTTTCAGGAGGGTATCACTGGCGGAAAGGGAACCAGACCCCCATAAAATGAGGATTTTCTGCAGTGCCAGAGTGCTGTGGGGAGCTCCCATTTCAGCATCTCCTTTACCCCATCAGCCCTACCTGCATTTGACCCAGGAACCACGCAGGGCATGTGCCCAGCTGGAGCCACTGGGATTTAAGTGATTAATGTAACACCACGGAGCCTTCCCTCAGTGCACGGCTCTGATTCCTGCCCTGGCTTGTATTTCAGCATTCCAGACGGAGGGGAAGCTGTACCTCATCTTGGATTTCCTCAGAGGAGGTGACCTTTTCACTCGGCTTTCCAAAGAGGTGGGTATGCTCTGGCATCTCGGGGGGCTGCTGTGGCTCAGCTCATCTCTGCTTATGGCCTGCAGCAGTAACTGACCCTTGCAGTCCTTGAGAGGGTGAAAACAGCCTCCAGGCTGCTGATAGACCAGAGCTGGCACCAGGAGAGGCTGTTGTGGGAGCCCTGTGCTCCAGCAGAAAAGCAGTAGCACAGGTGGCCACCCCTGCAACAGCTTCAGATGAGCATCTCCTAAAGAACAAGAATGAAAAGAAGGTCATTTTGGATTAGAGTTAAGGAAGAAATTGTTCCCTGTGAGGGTAGGGAGGCCGTGGCACAGGGTGCCCAGAGCAGCTGTGGCTGCCCCTGGATCCCTGGAAGTGTCCCAGGCCAGGCTGGACAGGGTTTGGAGCAGCCTGGGACAGTGGGAGGTGTCCCTGCCATGGCAGGGGTGGCACTGGATCCATTAAGGTCCATTCTGATCCAAACCATGAACGGTGGGTGAAGTCTGGAAAACTTAGAAAGGGCAGGAGGGAGCAACATGGATGGGAAAGGTGCAGGGGAGCTGCTGGCATTGCAACCCAGCCCTTCTCTGCTTTCTCCCCCTGCCTGCAGGTGATGTTCACTGAGGAGGATGTGAAGTTCTACCTGGCAGAGCTGGCACTGGGACTCGACCACTTGCACAGTCTGGGGATCATCTACAGGGACCTCAAGCCAGAGAAGTATGTGTGGCCAGCTGAGGCAGGATCCCAGCCCTGCACCCAGCCCAGCCTGGAGCCAGGGAACAGCTCCTGCCTTCCAGAGGGGGCCCTGGGGCTGGACACGTGGGAGGTGGTGGTGCCAATCCAAGGCTCCTTGGATCAGTGGTTCCAGCCAGGAGCTGTGTGTGCCACAGGCTGAGCAGAGATCTGTGGCAGCCTCCAGGCTCCAGCTTTAGGCAGCTGGGAGCCTTCAGAGGGAGAAGGGACCAGGCTGGGTTCTGCAGAGCCCACTCCAGCTTGGTTATCCTTGCCTGGAGTATGTGGGGGTCTGAGGGAGGTAACCTCTGGGGCCTTTGGTTTGCTGTGTAGCTGAGGGTGTGGAGAGGAGGGAGCTGCTCCTGGTCCCACTCCTATCTTGGAGAAAGGACAGGTAACTTCTCCTTAACAGATAACTTTTCCTTTGGATTCTGGGAGCCAAAGGATGATCTCAGACCATCTCTTGCTGTACTCGTTCTCACCAGCCCTTATCAAAGACAATAACAACTTGTTTTTCCATCCCTGCTGTAGCATCCTCTTGGATGAAGAGGGGCACATCAAACTCACAGGTAAGGGGCTCCACCAAGCCTGGGGCTCCAGCAAGGTTGGTCCCTGAAATACAGAGCTGCTTGAAATGTTTGGAGCAGTGTGCTGACAGCTTTCTCTCGTGCAGATTTTGGTTTGAGTAAGGAGGCCATAGACCACGAGAAGAAAGCCTACTCCTTCTGTGGGACGGTGGAGTACATGGCTCCGGAGGTGGTCAATCGCCAGGGCCACTCGCACAGTGCTGACTGGTGGTCCTACGGGGTCCTCATGGTGGGTACCCTGCCCAGGACTGGGAATGCCAGCTGCCCCTGCCCTGGGACAGCAGACACAGCTCTGTTCCTGCTGGCTGGGGGCTCCCCACACCCCCAAAGAGCCCCAAGGGGGCTGGTCCCCGGAGGCTGCTGTGCCAGGGGGTGCTGGGCTGTGGGGGGGCTGTGGGGTGTGTGGGATGCACGGAGGTCTCTGTGGTGTGTCTGTGGGGTGTGTGGGGGTGTCTGTGTCCACCCCAGCGCCAGGCCCTCGCTGTCAGTGCAGATCTGGTGCCACCGTCTGGCAGCTGCTGGATCCCAGGGCCCCGGCAGGAGCAGGCTCTGGCCTGGACACGTTCCCTGGCAAACCCCGAGAGCCAAGCTGCTGCTGGGAACTCGCCGTGCCTGTGACTCTGTCACAGCCAGGCTTGGGACCCCTCACAAGCAGGAGGGGCAGTGGGATCTGTGCAGCCCTGAGCCTTACTCAGATATGACTCTCCCCTTCTTCTCTTTCCCTCCCAGTTTGAAATGCTTACGGGGGCACTGCCCTTTCAGGGGAAGGACCGTAAGGAGACGATGACCCTCATCCTCAAGTAAGAGTTTCTCCCTCCTGTCTGCACAGTAGGGGTGTTGCAACTGGGGGCTCTTGAAATTCTGTGGCGTTATTTGGCAACTGGTGCCATATCAGCCATGCGTTTAAAGGGTGCAGTGGAAATGCCAGAGAGATGATTGTGCATTTTGGGGGTGGAGGTGCTGCAGTTGCCTTGTGGGTTTTCTTTAAACCTGCAGCTGATTGCATAACTTCCTCCCCAGAGCGAAACTGGGCATGCCACAGTTCCTGAGCGCTGAGGCTCAGAGTCTCCTGCGAGCCCTTTTCAAAAGGAATCCAGCCAACAGATTAGGTAAGACCTTTTTTTTTTTTGTTTTTTCTGAGGTTCTCTGTGACACCTGGCTGTGCTGCCTGCCTGGCTTTGTTGTGGTTCAGTACAACATGACCCTGGTGTCTCTTGCAGGGTCTGGGCCAGATGGGGCAGAGGAGATCAAGCGCCACCCTTTCTACTCCACCATCGACTGGAATGTGAGTATCAGAAAGAGCAAATTTCTGCACCACTCAGCACCACTAACAGAGTTCTGGCAGCAGGAATAGCACTGTCCTGATGCCTGGCCAGCTATGGGAGAGCCACCAGTCCCTGTCCCCATCCATTCCAATAACCCTTTCCAAAACCAAAATTCTCTGTCATACACCTGGGCTGCCTGTCATTCACTGAGCTGTAGCAAAATGCTAAGATACAGAGTTTCACAAAATCTCTTCCTGGCCCTCATTCCTCAGCAGCCTTTGTACCCTTTGGGAGAAGGTGTCTGTGGGAGCACTTCCAAGCTGTTTTTGCAGCTGTTTTTTGGGGTTTGTGTGTTTTGCAGAAGCTGTACCGCAGGGAAATCAAACCCCCTTTCAAGCCTGCAGTGGGCCAGCCAGATGACACGTTTTATTTTGACACAGAGTTCACGTCACGGACACCAAAAGGTTTGTATGACTTGAGGCAAAGCCCAGCTTTCCTGTGAGATGTCACTCTGTGACTTCATACCAGGGAGTATCCGGCACCAGCAGGATAAGGTTTCTGCACATGGAAGGTTTAGGTTGGATATCAGGGAGATTTCTTCTCCCAAAAGGGTTGTCAGTCCCTGGCACAGGCTGCCCAGGGCAGTGGTGGAGTCACCATCCCTGCAGGGGTTTCAAAGTCATGTGAATGTGGCACTTGGGGACATTGGCAGTGCTGGGGGAATTGTTGGACTCGCTGGTCTTAGAGGGCTTTTCCAAGCTGGACAATTCCACGAGTCTCTGTGGGATGTTAGGGGTAAACTCAGTGCTGCTGGTGTGGCTCCTGTCTCAAATGAAGTACAGTATCTCCTGGGAGCACGGGGGAGGCTTCTGCTCCTCAGGCCCTTCTCGAGCTGTCTCTCAACTCCTGCTGCAGATTCCCCGGGTGTGCCCCCGAGTGCAGGGGCCCATCAGCTCTTCCGAGGCTTCAGTTTCGTGGCAACCGGGTTAATGGAGGATGGCAAAGTCCACCCTCCCCAGCCTGCCCTGCATTCAGTTGTGCAGGTAAGGAATGGGGACAGAGGAGCAGCTCTTTGGAGGTGCAGGGATGCTCCAGGTCTGCAGGACCTCTGCACCACCTGGAGCCTGAGGCAGTTCTCTTTGGAATTCTTGCCTCCTGTTCTTTCATCACCACTGACTGTCACATTGTGCACGGGCTGTCAGGGCAGTGTGGGGCTGTGGCTTTCCTGTCCCCAGGTGGATCTGTGCTGGCAGGGGGTCTGTAATGCCATGGGCTGGGCAACCAAAGGCAAAGGCACCATGCTTGGTGGAGGCAGCATTGGCCCACTGACCTATATCTGCCTTGTGCTCCTCTCCTCCTGCTCCCCGCCGGGAGGAGAAGCTGTGGGATGTAGCAGACAGTCTGACAGCTCTCTCTGTGCTGCAGCTAACTCATCATGTTGCACAAACCCTTCCCTGAACCCTCCCAGCTGAGCTGTCCTTTGTGCCCTGGCAGCAGCTTCATGGCAAGAACGTCCAGTTCAGCGACGGGTACGTGGTGAAGGAGGCCATCGGCGTGGGCTCCTACTCCGTCTGCAAACGCTGCATCCACAAGGCCACCAACATGGAGTACGCGGTCAAGGTCCGGCACTGCCCTCCCACATGAGCTCCCCTGCTACATCTTTGCCCACAGCCCCATCCCTGCAAGTGTCCAAGGCCACGTTGGACGAGGCTTGGAGCAACCTGGAATAGTGGAAGGTGTCCCTGGCCCTGGCAGAGAGTGGAACAGGATGAGCTTTAGGCTCATCTAGGATGTAAAAGACAATTTCTGTGCTGCTGTGCAGGTAGCTGCACTTCCCCAGGAATAGCAGGGAAGCAATGTCCTCCTCCCTCAGAGGGGGGAGAGCATCTCATCTTCCTGTGCAGAGCTGTGGCTGCATCAGGTCTTAACAAAAGACATAAAATGTTGTGGGGTGGGGAGACAGAACTGATGAAGCAACTTAAGGATTTCTAGAGCTAAAGAGATGAGGGGACGGAGTGGATATGGCACAGGAGCTCTGCAGGGCTCCAAACTCAGCTCGTGTGCTTTGTCCTGGCCCCTTCCCCACCTGTGGTGGCTGCAGTGTGTCCCTACTCTTGCAGGTGATTGACAAGAGCAAGCGAGACCCTTCTGAGGAGATCGAGATCCTGCTGCGGTACGGGCAGCACCCAAACATCATCACCCTGAAAGATGTGAGTGTGGCCTGAGAGACTTCCCTGTGCTTTGGTTTAGGAAGTGCAGGCTGCTGGGGGCAGGGTTCAGCCCCAGCAGGGGCAGCCCAGCGACACAGCTCCACGTGCTGCTGTTTCTGTCAGGAGAAGGTTCTTCCCCAGAGGGTGCTGGCACTGCCCAGGCTCCCCAGGGAATGGGCATGGCCCCGAGGCTGCCAGAGCTCCAGGGGCCTGTGGACACCCTGCCAGGGATGCCCAGGGTGGGATCATTGGGGTGTCTGGGCACGGCCAGGAGCTGGATCAGTGATCCCTGTGGGTCCCTTCCAGGTTGGGATATTCCATGATTCTGGGGTGGGGAAGCCTGCTGCTGATCCCTGTCTGCTCCTTGGCAATGGGAGTACAAAAGGGAAGCTGTGGAAGCACATTTTGATTTCCCCACCCATGTTTTCCTTGGCAGGTGTACGATGATGGGAAGTACGTGTACCTGGTGACCGAGCTCATGAGGGGAGGGGAGCTGCTGGATAAAATCCTCAGACAGAAATTCTTCTCGGAGAGAGAAGCCAGTTCAGTCCTGCACATGATCTGTAAAACAGTGGAGTATCTGCATTCCCAAGGGGTGAGTGTGGTCACAACTGTTTTCCTGGCAGCTCCCTGGCATTACACTGTGCTCCCTCTCCTCCAGGGTGTAACTCTGCCCATCATAATTATTTCTTGCTGGTGTTGCCCTCTTGGCAAAACAGATGTGGGGCCAGGCAGCTTTCAGACCTTGATCTACGTGGGGTACGAGCACAGCCCTTTCTTGGCTCCACAGGTGGTTCACAGGGACCTGAAGCCCAGCAATATCCTCTACGTGGATAAATCAGGGAACCCCGAGAGCATCCGAATCTGTGACTTTGGCTTTGCCAAGCAGCTCAGGGCTGAGAACGGGCTCCTCATGACCCCCTGTTACACAGCAAACTTCGTGGCACCCGAGGTGAGCACCTTACTGACCTGAGACCCTCCAGTAGTCCCCTCGTCCCTCCCCTAACCTGTGCTCCCACTTGGCACAGTGGGTCTGTCCTGTTCCCATCTCCATCCCACTGCAGAAGAGGCAATTACAAAAATGCCTCTTGTAGTAATAAATCTATTTTGAATCCTGATATTTTAGTCCCAGACTTTGCTGTTGTGTCCAGCTCTGGAAGCTTTGCATACGGACTGCACCCAGGTCAAGCCCTTCTTCTGAAATGAGCTCAACGACAGGAACCAAACAAACTTTTTCCCTTTGTTTGTTGTGCTCAGGTCCTGAAACGCCAAGGCTACGACGAGGGCTGTGACATCTGGAGCCTGGGGGTCCTGCTGTACACGATGCTGGCAGGGTAAGGCAGTGGCTGGGGCTGTGACCCTGTCCCCAGTGTGCTCTGTGGGGACAGCTGTGCCTCTCCTCCTGCCTGGGTCAGTAAATCCAGGGCTCTCTCCTCTCTCCCCAGCTGCACTCCCTTTGCAAATGGTCCCAGTGACACTCCAGAAGAGATCCTGACACGGATAGGAGGGGGGAAGTTCTCCATCAGTGGGGGCAATTGGGACACTATTTCTGACATGGCCAAGGTAGGGTTTGATATTTGTTGGGGTTGGGGTTGCTGTGAGGTAAATTTAGAGCAGGTTGGGGAGGGTGCACACAAGAGAGAGAAGAAAACCAGCACTGCAGCTTCTACCCTACACAAGTCCCTCACAGCAGCTTTGTTTTAGCTCTGGCTGTGATATTTGCAAGGAAAACCAACCTCGTGCTTGACCCATATGGGGTTTGCTCTGTGTTCTACCCCCCAGGCCTGCCAAAAACATATTTCATATAAAAAGACATTCATGTCTGGGGACTTCAAACTTGGCCTCTGCATTTAAATCCTAATCTGGGGGTATACACGGGTGGATATTTTTGCATTTAAATTATGAAATCTTCTAAAGTCTGACTTTCCAAACAATGCCTGTAGGATCTGGTATCAAAGATGCTCCACGTAGATCCTCACCAGCGTCTCACAGCCAAGCAGGTCCTGCAGCATCCTTGGATAACCCAGAAGGACAGTTTACCCCAGAGCCAGCTCAATCACCAGGACATTCAGCTTGTAAAGGTACAAAATCTGGAGTAGGAAAGCAGGAGGGAAGTTTGAAGAGGTGTGAGCCAGGGCAGGCTCACAAGCAGGGGTTTTTGGGAGGAAAGAAAGGGGAGATTCTTTAACAGCATGTCAGTGCAGGAGGGAGACTTAAAGAAACAGGAAAGATGCTGCTGGCTTTGTTTGTGGATGTGGCTCTGGTCCCCTGTCTTGTAAAGCCATGAGTCTGAAGTAGCTCCCCTGCCCCTGAGTGACTCCTCTGTGCCCTCTCCAGGGCGCCATGGCTGCCACGTACTCGGCACTGAACAGCTCCAAGCCAAGCCCTCAGCTGAAGCCCATCGAATCCTCCATCCTGGCACAGAGGCGGGTGAAGAAGCTCCCCTCCACCACCCTGTGAGGCCCCACGGTGCAGAAACAGCCCGGATTTTGCACACCTACAGAAGAGGGGGACAGGGGACGGGCAGGGTCTGCACAGGGGCTCCCCTGGGGACTTGCTCTCAAGAGGCCAAGTGCCTTCCTGCTCCTGAAAGACTGGCTCCTCCTCACGTGGACTGATCTTTGCTGAGAGAACTTCACTGTAAAACTTTTTTGACGTGTAAATTGTCGATTTATAAAGAAATCCATCTGTGTATATGAGAACTAGAATGTATAACTGATGTCAAGTGGCACTAAAAAGCAGCTCTGATTCACCCTTCCCTGTGTAGGACCAGGTAATTGTTGTCGCTACACCATTTCTTGGAACTGATCCTCCCCAGCTCCACAGCAGCTGGAAGGCTGTGTCACACTTGAGGTTTAGGCTTTGGGGCTTTTCCTCCCTCAAACCTTTGAATGCATTTCCCAAAGCCAGCCCTGCAGCCTCCCAGCCAGCAGCACTCCTGTCCATGAAGGACCTCCCTCCCCTCCAAGCCCGGTGTGTTTGTTCCATGTAAGGTGGATTTTGCAGCCTCTGTTTCTCCCTTTCTCCTGTGCTGCCCCAGCCCAGCCAGCAGCTCAGATCTCTGAACAAAACATGCCACGTTTTTTCCAAGCCCTCCTGCAGGACACGTCCTAGGTTTGGCAATTCCTTCCCTCTGCTCTCCCATCTCCGAGTTCTCCATCACTGCCGTTTGTCACCTGTGCAGGGGGGGATGACAACAGAACCTCCTCCCTGGCAAAGCGGAGGCTTTGGGCTGGCTCTGGCTGCTGCTTTTACCATTTGGAGTTTCCCTTCCCCTCAGCAGGAACCTCTGAACCAAACCACCCTTTATTTTTTAATTTAACTTTGTTCTCCAGCCGGTGACTCAGGGTTTCTTTCTGACTCGTACAATAAACATGTCATTCAGGGGCTGTCCCGTTACTGACTGTGAGCTGCAGAACCAGCGACCCCCAGCGATCCCCGGGCATTTCCTGCCATTCCCAGGTTGTTCCTCCGTGCTATGCAGGGACTGTGCTCCTTGTCTGCCTTCTGGAAAAGCTGCAAAGCTTTTGATCAGGCCCTGAAAACCAGCAGTGCTGCTCAGGGCAGCCTCTCGTGCTACCTTCTCTCAGTGGGAGGTGATCAGAACCAGTCCTGGAATGAGGCAAGAACCAACAGGAATGGGGAATTTCTTACTCTCAGGACTCTTCTGTGCTTATAGAAACAACACTTGGAGACAAACTGTGCTAGAAATAAATACCCACCCCAGTCTGAGCTGCAAGGGACTGCCAGAGCTCCGTGGTTCCGTGGTGGCAGTTTTGGGAGCAGCAGGATTGCTACAAGGGCTGCAAACAGAGCTCGAGGATGTGACTGGAGGTTCTCATGTGAATTTCTGCTACTTTTAGCTGATCATGTCACAAGAGAGGAAACTTGCTTTGTTCAGTCCCAGTTGGCTCTAAAATGGAGAATTCCATAAAAATGATTATGTGAGATGCACAGTGCTCTTCTCCTGTAGCCTCATCCAAGCAGGTCCTGTGAGCAGCCAGTGAAAAGCTGAAATAGTCACAATTTCTTTCTCTCTGTATTCCAAGTGCAGCCTGAATGTCCAGTGCTTCTGAGAGGAGGAGGCCAGCTCCAGTCCACAGTGGATCTTCTTACTGGTATTGCCACCAACCTCAGCAGAGACAGATTTAATGTTTTGCTGAGATTTGGAGAGGGGGACACTGCACCATCCAAAATGCCTTCCTTAAAAATACTTATGGCATGAGGTTCCCTACAACTCCACAGTGACTCTTGTGCCAGTGCTGTGCAAATGCTAGGTACCTGCAACCAATGCAATAATCACAAACATTTTTCTGGAGCTGGGCTCAGTCCCTTAGGGTGCTTTTGGGTGTTGCAGGAACCTCCCCAGATTTTCAGAATGTTTCCTCCATTGTGTTTCGAGGGAAGGTCTGGAGTGGTGGATGGGCTTGGATGCCAACCCACCATGGGTGGGTGGAGATCAGTGCTCTTAAACCCTGGGGTTTAGGGGGTCTTAAACCAAATACTTGTCCTGGTTTGGGGGATAACTGGTTATTTATATGAAATTGCAAATGTTTTCAAATATCAGTCAGGAAAAACATTACAGCCCTTGCTAAATGCTCCCTGTCATGTGCTGGTGTGAGGCCAGCAGGGGACAACTCAGGGGTGTGGGGACAACCAGGTGCAGATCAGTGTGGGCAGGGGGAGAGCAGCCCTCAGCTGCTGCAGGTCCTGCAGGGCCAGGAGATGATACCTGGGGTGTCACACCCCAAAACCAGGAGCATCAAACCCCTCTGCCACCCTCAGGTCTTCAATCAGAACTTTGTGCTTGGTGCAGCTAGAGCTTCTGAAACCCCCATCCCCTTGGAAAACAGAGAGAACAAGAATGGCTACACCTTCCTCTCCAGGGGGCTTTTTACCACGTTGTTCCGAGTTATCCATAAGTAAAATGAGTCTTGATTTTTAGTTCCAGATCAACCAAGTGCTGTTACTTTTTAAATTCCAGTGCTCAATAAAATTGGACTTGTGAATTTTCTGTACATGAGAACTGTAGGTGTTTGTGACGGGCTGGGCTCTCCCCTTCCTTTTCTGGTTTTGTCCTGACCTTTGCCAAAGTACTGTTTTCATATTAACTGAAATAGCATTATTTGAGGTGAAAGTTGGGTATCTAATGCCTACTGGTGTGGGTGGTGAGAGACCAAGTGATTTGCTCTTACAGGAGTTTGGGGTCATTCAGCTGTAACTTGGGACAAAGAGGATACAGAGGATATCACAAATTGGCTTGGTTTTAAAAGAGGCAAAAATTGATTGAACTTCCATACATAAGGACATCTTTACAAGGAAAGCTATTTCTGTTAGTTCAGGTATTTAATAGTGGATTTGATCTTTAAGCTTTTGTCCTGAATAGGTCTGAATGAAAGCTCAAGGGAGCAGAAATCCCGGAATCCAGCCTCAAACTGCTGAGTCTACCTGGAAATAACCTCTGCAGGAAAAGCATATTGATCCAAAGTCAAGGAGCCTGAAAATAATGTGGAACAGCTCTATATAATACTGTTTCTGTATAATACAGGTTAAATTTTCCTGGTTTGGGGCATAAATCAGCCATTTTTCTGTTGTAGGGGCTGTCCCAGCTGAGAGGATGTTTCCCTTCCTTCCCACTGTGTAGCTGTGCCCTTCCCTTGCTGACTTCTGTCAAATTCACCAGGACAACAATAAATGTCTTTTAGCCTAGGAAATATTCCCATCAAGATTCAGTTTAAAACTGAAGGCCAGTAGCTTTCCCAGCAATCATCTTCTCTTTCTTTTTCACAGTGAAACTTCACTGAGCAACTGATCTGTGGTTCTAATTTCTTAAACTTTAATGCAAATCTATCTCCAAGTTCCCACCCTTGAGTTAGTCCATGTAATTCTATTTTCAGCATCTCTAGGCAGTGGTGGATGGTGACCTGTGCAGCTGGAGGCCTCCTGGGTGCCACCACCTCCTCGTGGTGGCCACGGCCGGTTCCCAAGGCCGCAGGAGGCTTCGGAAGTGCTCGGTGACTGCGAGCGAGTTCCACGGGATGTGGGGTGGATGCTGCGCTTTCATGGAATATTCAACAATTTAATCCCTCTTTCAAGGCAAAGAAAACATTTAAAATATTTCAAGGTCTTCTTTCGGCAGTACATGGGGGCTCTGAATAAAACCTTCACTCACTCCGGGGAAGCCGCAGGTCTGCTGCCACTCCATTCCTTGCCTCTGGTTATTAAAACATCAAGCTGTCTTAGTGCCTCGGCTCAGCCTCCCTCCCTTTGTGTGCCACTGAACACCTGCCATTAATACTAATTCGACTCCGGAGGGAAACTCCCTTTCAGATATGCTTGTCTGAAAATAAATTGACATGTAAAAGGTCTCTTTTGTCGAAGTGCAGGGAAAGTGCCGGGGTGAGGAGCCGCCTGCTCACAAAAGGAGCCACTGACTTTAAAGGATGTGTGGAGGGGTGAGAAATGCGAGAGGTGGGGGTGATGCTGTAACTGGGCTGATGGGATCAGACTGGAGAAGAATCCCAGAGCTACAACCTCTGTTTGGTGCTAGATTTTAAAGTTTTGGGTGTTTTTTGTCTAAACCCCTGCTTGTCTCAGGGTGAATGGCCAAGGACCCCTCTGGAGAAAAGATTTTTGTTTTAGAAAAATTTGTTATCACAAATATCTGCAACCAAAACTAAGAGCAGTAGTTGTGAGCCCTTCAATTTAAATGTGTAATTAGCTCCTGGGTTCTGTTGTTTTTTCCTGGGACAAAAGTTTGTATCCCTTTCAATTACGAAGCAGCAGAAGAATTCTTGGTTAGAGTGTTTGCTCTGTCCCACAGGCAGCAGTGTGAGCCAGCAAAAGATCAATATTTTTATTTTTAATGGAAAGAATTATTTGCTTTGAGCTCCTCATACCCCAGGGTGACCATGGTTCTCTCCTATGAAAACATTTTTAAGTCAGTTCTTCAGGCCAAGCTTTGGAGAGAGTGACTCTGCTTGAAATTTGTGTTGGTGCTGAAATGACACAGCCTCATGGCTGGGAATGAAAACTGAAGTGTTGTGGACCTGACATTCGGCTGCTGCTCACTGGGATTCTGCTTCCTCTAGCGAAGAAATCACTCACTTCATAATGAAGATCAAGTCAAAATATGTTCAGGGCTTGAAATAAGAAAAAAAAAAAGAATTGTGGCAATTACAGAAACATTCCAGATTCGTTGGTGTCACGTCTGGTTTATCAAACAAGCTCTCAGTGCTGCTGAGCTCCAATGCCATCTTCCTTTTAAACAGCAGATGGTGTTAGAAACCTGTAACAGGTGGAAGCTCTCCAGTTTTATGTGAGAGATCAGAAGTAGCAGCAATTTCTGTTTCCCACGGGGTAGTTCCTTCCTGAGCAGAACAGCAAGCTGACCCTTTGCTTGGCGAATCCTTACAGAGGGGAAAACTTCTGAACTACACACATTCATATGAAAGAAATTGATTCTGATTTCACTTATTCTGGTTATAATAAAAGGAACCTGGTGATGGCCTCCACAACCCTCTGCTAGCAGCTCTAAAAGAGAGATGTAGAGGGGGAAATGGGCTCTGTTTGCTGGTGTGCCTTAAAATCCTGCTCCAATCTGCCAGATCTGTTGGTTCCTTGTCTACAACAGCACTTCGCATGCTTAAAGTGTTTTATAAACATTTAATTACCGCGGCTTTTGACTCAAAGCCAGGAACCTCTCATTCATCTGCTGCTTGAGAGGGTTGTGAAAATGATATTCAAATCATAGAATTACAGGAAGGGCTGAGTTCAAACCCCAGCTACAGCAACCTGCATTGCTGGGATCCGCGAGCGCCGCGCGTCCGCAGGGCCGCGTTTCCAAAGGGAGCGACTCCAGCAGGGGAAATGGAAACGTGGCTCGGAATGCAGAGAGATCTGAGGGGCTGTCAGTACCCCAGGACACAGAGCTGCATTTTAATCATGTTAGGGAAACGAGATGCTAAATTCTGTCAGCTGGTGTGCTGTGAACTTCTGAGGCAGGCGGGGAGTGCGGTTCTGTCTAGACCAGAGCCCTGTTTGATCCCCCAGCCCCAGCGTATTTGTTAAAAGTCACTTTTTTCCCACCCACCAAACCACTTGGAATTTTAACATCTGCTCCACCCCAACTTCCAGCTCTGTTTCTTAAAAGGGGAAGCCCCCAGGAGTCGTGGGGTTTGTGACACCAAGTGGAGGCAGCAACTAAAGATAAAGAATTTGTATGGGATTAATAATTTCCATCCGACCATCTGCCTCTTTCACCAGCTCCCATTCCTGAAGAGCACATTGTACCTGCAGAACCGGGTGTGCAGGAATAGAAATAATTTACTTTCCATGAAAATTGTCTAGAGCACCTGTGGCTGCTCCATCCCTGCAGTACCCTAGGCCAGGTTGGACAGGGCTTAGAGCAGCCTGGGATGGTGGCAGGTGTCCCTGCCCATGGCAGGGGGTGGGACTGAGTGGGTTTTAAGGTCCTTCCAACCCAAACCTTTGTGGGATTCAATAAAAAAAAGAGCCGTTGGCTGGCTCTGTGTCTTTTGGTGGATCCACACAAACAATCACTGATGGGCAGGGCAGAAAACACAGAGAAACTGTTCCTCTCTACAAGCTGACCCTGATCTCACTGGCTCAAGGAGAAACTATCAAGGAGAAAACCTCCATCTGCACCTGCTGACCCCTCCAACCTTCACTGCCGTTCTGAAGGCAGACTGTGAGCCCCTTTAATAAGCTGCTGGCAATCAGCCCCTTTTTAATGAGGCAGATCCCCAGTTTCAAGGCCCTGGATCACTCAGTGCTCGCTTTCTGCTCTGTGAATTGTGAGCACACCACAAGCAGCCACTCTCAAAGTAATCCCGGAGTCCCTTTTCCTGCCCTGTTTAAAGACAGGGTAGGGAGTCCTGTGATGTTTCATTAAAGCTGGCTTTTCTCCTCGTGGCAGAGCAGATTTAATCAGACCTGCCTCCTAGTTCCAGCTGCTGGGTTGGAGCGCTCTGATCTGTGCACTGGGTGCACGTCTAATTATGGAGGCAATTCCCATGGATACCGAGAAGAATTGCCTGTGCTGGCAAAAAATTATCCCAGCTGGGAAAACAGGGAAGGAGAATGTGTTGAAATATTCGGGAAGAGATCTCAAAAGTTTCTGGAAATGTAAATGAAAAACATTTCTGGTTCTTACACCACAATGTGCAAATCTTGATTATTTTAAAACTAAGATATGGGCTGGTTTGTAAGAGATTATCCCAAACTGCTGTTCTGTCGTGCTACTGGAGGACTCACCAGCACCACAAAACTGTATTTCCCCCCTCCTTGTTACCTGCATCCACTCGGGAATGCTTTCCCACCTTTGCTCCTCACCTGTGCAGTGTGTTTGGAGAAAATGTCCGACAGTTTGTTTCCATCAGGGCACACCCTGGGCGAGGCAGAGCAAAGGCTGGTAATTCTGGTTCCTTCTGCAGCGCCGGGTGGGACCGGGGTGAGTTCCTCCTCTTTGTGCCTCATCCTTCTGAAATGTATGAATTTAAATAACTTATTTCTGTATAAATTAGTGTTTGAAAGGTCTGTTAAAGACAAAAGAGCACTCCCTGGTAAAAGGAGAGGGGGAAATACCTGGGTAAGCACTGCTCAGATGTGGAAAATTAAACAAATATGATTTGAAATGATTTTGTAATTGTTCAGCTGCAGGCCCTCATGTTCAAACTGCATGGGAAAAAACAGCTTTCTTAATTTAACTACACAAATTCAAACGTCTTTTTGAGGGTGATTTTTTTTTGCTTTGGGTTTGTTTGGAGATTTTTAGGAACATTCTAATCAACTCCATAATGGTTGTAACTTGTATTTATTCACTAATTTCTCTCCAGCAGGGGCTCAGACACTTTCCATCATGTTGCTGGCTAATGTAAACACACAGAATAAGGAAAGCTGTGGTACTATTAGGGTGTATTTCCATCTCTTTCTCATCCAGGGCACCTGCTCCCCTTCCCCTCCCCTCCTCCCAGTCTTCCCAGCTGTCTGTCTGTCTCATTTATGTCAATTAGAGATTCAATGCTGCCTGATTTAATTGGCCTGACTTTCTCCTCTAACAGAAACCCGAGCGCAGGCCGGGCAGGCAGCAGCTCCTCGGCTCTCCACTGGGGCTGGAGCCGGGAGGGCCAGGGCTTGTTTGCAGCACAGAGCACAATAACCTGTTTGTTACCCTGGCCAGGGAGAGCTTGGTGACCTCCTAACAGGGATGGGACCCAGGCAATGATGTCATTGGAAAGCTTGGGGGGATCTCCGAGTGCTCCAGGAATTTGTGTGATCAGCCCCTCACTGTGGGTTGGCTTTTAGGGAAGAGCTGGAGATCCGTGGAATTGTCCAAGGCCAGGCTGGATGGGACTTGGAGCAACCTGGGACAGTGGAAGGTGTTTCTGCCCATGGCAAGGGGTGGAACGAGATGAGCTTTAGCTCCTTTCGAGCCAAATCAGCCTTTCTATGAGTCTATGATTTGCTGTGTTGCCTCCTGCCAGGAGGTGACTCGGTGTGCCCTGAGGTCATAGTGACAAAACTTCCCCAGGCTGTGGCCACAGAGGGCTCATCCTTCTGCTTGGGATTAACCACGAGTGAGGCTGACCAAAACCCAGCTTTTACAGAGTTTACGTGAGGGCCTGACCCTGTGCCCCTCTGGGCAGCAGACTTCAAAGCAAACCAGCCCTGACAAAATCTTTGCCACCCCTCTGCTCCCCCTCCCGCAGCCCAATCCCAGGAAGCAGCTCTGACCTACTTCTCGGCTCCTCGCTCACAAATTACACAGCCGTCCTTCCCTCCCGACAGAAATGCGAGTTTCCCAAGGAGCTGGCCCGCGGAGGCGTCAATATTGAACAGCAACAGTACCATCTAGTGACTCGGGCTGCCCGGGAGCATCACTTAGCCGGGAAGAGGGAATCTGTGAATCAGGGCGGCCAAGAAGGTCCCGGATTTGCAAACGAGATCCCATCTCGGTTCATTTGGATTAAGGAAACAAATCGTACTGATCTTGCAACAGTCTCGGGATATTTTATCAGAGAGCTGCGTGATGCTTCCTGGGGAGCCGGTCCCGTTTGCAGGCTCCTGACTCCCCGCTGAACCCGGCCCTGCCCCACGCTCCCTCTGCTGGCAACAACTCCTCGATTTCACACGTTCCCAGCTCCTCGCACACCCACTCGCCCGCACAGCACCAAATCCCGGCAAAGGCATCAGAGGAAATTGAGGGCTGTGGTGAGTTCTCGCTCATGATAAATGTGCACGTTCTCACTCTGCCGAGCCACTAGTGAAATCCTGAATTGGATGCGTGAAATAAATAGATACAATTCAATTTAATCAATCAAAAATAGGACCAAACGCAAGCGTAAAGGGCCTGCTCTGCGCAGATCTGAAATTACACACTCGGCAGCTGAAGGGAGGAAATCAAATTAGAGCATTTCTTTCCCCATCAAAGGACATTAGTCCTGATCCAGGTCCATTATGCTCACGGTGTGCAGAGTTATCCCTGTCAGCATCCCGGCTGACCGAGGCACCGTGTGGCAGTACCGGGTTAGTGACGGACTATGGCATGTTCTGTGTTTGAGGTGACAACTTTTCCCAGCTGTTCTGCAGCACGCATGTCCACGTCACCTCCTTCCCAGTGAAAAAGACCACTGTCAGATATGCAAAATGCACTGAAATGGGGAGAGGTGACACAAAAGCTGCACTGCAGAACCTCAGAGCTCAAACACGCTGTGAAATGCCACCGGTACCACAGGAGAAATTGCTGTGCTGGCTAATCAAACACATCCCCTCCTTGCTGCCAATAGTGCAGCACTGCCCTGAGTCCACTCAGCCTTGCTCGTGGGCTGATGAGTGCCTGACAATTTTCTGGTCTCAAATTAAACAGAAAACTAAATTAGCAAATTAATTGTTTGCCATGTTTTTCCTTAGTCCCCATCAGCTGCCTCAGGTTGTGCAGCCAATCCAGAGCCCCTCTCAGCAGTTCCCAGTAGAAGGTGGAGCCCTGCACTGGGTCCTGCTATCTACCAAATGTCAGTCATGTTAATTTTAAATTACTTTTGTACAGCTTGGTGTCAAAACGATTAAAGCATGAAAAGAAAAACTGAACTAGAGGGAGGAAAGAGGGGGGAGAGAGAGAGAATGAATAATTTACCTTGCATTTACAGCAAGGACACTTGGATTTCCTTAATTCTTCAACTCTGAGAAGCCTGAAACTTCTGTTTCTTCAGCTGTCACCTGCTTGGGACTGTACCCAAGGGGGTGCTCTGGATGTGAGACCACGAAGTGATTTGGGTGGGAAGGGCCCTTAAAGCCCATCCCATCTCACCCCTGCCATGGCACAGACACCTTCCACTGTCCCACGCTGCTCCAAGCCCCATCCAACCTGGCCTTGGACATTTCCAGGGATCCAGGGGCAGCTACCCTGTGCTGGGCACCCTGTGCCCAGGGCCTCACCACCTTCTGAGTAAAGAATTTCTTCCTCATGAGGATCCTGCAAGGATTTGGGATCTAGTTATCACCTCATTCGTGGTCTACAGGGAGGTGACAACTGCTCGCAGCACAATGCCGGGATTCATCTCAGTTTCTTTCCAGGAAAGGCTTTTTCCACACTGTATTCCCAGGCTGCTGCAATCACCGGCATGGACAAACCCACCCACCCACGTACAGACCTTTTCTCCCCTTCCCAGTGCTCCACTCCCAACTGGGTTTACTCCATGACTCGCACGTACTGTGCTGGATAATTACATACTCAGAAAATACAGAAATGCCTAATCAGATACAGCCTTAAATGCACAAGAATTAGGGTTGTAGGATTGTGGCGTAGCATCCCTGGAGCTCTCTGCATCTGGCTCACACAACCAGCCCACGTGCACTGTGAAAATGTTGGGTTTGGGGCACAGACTGCTTTTATCTCCCTTATTAACTCCATCCATGGATTCTTTGTCTTGCCAGCTACTGAATGGTGTCATCAGTGGTCTTTGAAATGCCATTCTAAATCTGTTGAGGCCAGGAGAACAGCAAAAAGATTTGTAAGAGGGCAACTCCACAGCACCAGAAAATGTGAATCAAGTTCAGCCACTTCTGTTGATATTTATGCTGCATCTGGCTTATCCATCAATGCATCCTCCATTCATTACAAAGAGTATAAATATTAGGAATTATTGTGTCATGAGGGATGTGCAGTGGAGTGCTTTGGTAGATGATCACTAACAGGGTGACAGAGCTGTTTGGGAAATGAAAGAGGCTCAAGCCCCCAGTGTAATGTATCCTGCAGGATGTGTGTGGGCTTGAACTGATTTGTCAAAAGCAAAGAAAACAATTTTACTAATGGGTGTTTGATGAAAAATGAGCACGATGCCTTGGAAATTTCATTGCTGTCTTGTGCTCTTTCCATGGCAGCCATGAAGAGGAGACACCTCTATCTTCTACCTGCATTTTACTCCTTTGGCCTTAGGACTAACTCAGCCTTGCTGGATGCCAGACAGGTCATGTGGAGGGCTGAGGAGTGTGTTTGAAACACCCTCCTCCTCCAAAAGCACCTGCCTGACTCCTCCGGCGTGTTTGCTTTGGCTGGATAATCTCTGAGGAATCTCCAGCTCACTACGTGGGAGCTGTGACTGGGCAGCAGCGCTGCTGGAGCTTCCACTTGAGCACAGAGGCACAGGAGCGTTTCTGTCCTTAACCGTGGGATTCCCTTCACATGATCACGTTTCCTCAGCCTCTGATTCACAACTGTACTGTTTAAATTACTCTTCTTTCCTTTCCCTTTTAGGAAACTCCTGTAAACTTCCCTCATCCTCTGTCAGAGACCTGGCAGAAGGCTGGGAAGCTGAAAAGCAGGGGCTCCTGCAGTGCCTTCCAGTGATATTTCAGTGACACCACTTCAAATGCAGCGAGTCCCAAGTACTCTGGGCCCATAAACCCAGTTAAAATGTGCTCAGCTTTATAAAACTAACACCTTTTTACTGGATTCTGTTATTCTGGCTTCAGCAGAATGTCTGCTTAGGATTGAGTTACTTGAATAACTTTAAAAATACAAAGTGTTGCCAGCCAGAACATTAAAAATGCAGGTGTAAATACTGCCCTGGATCTAGTAATCATTAAAAAGCAAAACTGCAAACCAAACAGCATTGCCCTTCCACCTGGCACTCAGGAGCCAACACAACTGGGAGGCCGGACAGGGATTTGGATTGGATCTGTTATCAAAAAATCACTCCCAACTGCAAAATCTTTATGTAGCAGTCATTAAATGGTTCCAAATTCTAAACAGTCTGCCAGGCAGGCAATTAACATCATTAACTGAACAAAATTAATCCAGAATAATTAATTTGGACTTAATTGCAGGACCCAAGATATATCTTTACCTTTTGCTGCCGCTCTGAGGATCCTGGTGTTGGGCACATTGTCCCTCACAGTTCTTGGGAATCTGGAAACAATCCACCTCAGCTCAAATTTTTCAAAGGAGTTGTTTTAATTTGCTCCAGAGAAAGCTGCCTGTGTGTAAAGTCACCGATCTGCTGATGAGTAATCGGTGAGCTTTTGTGTTTTAATATTTTGATGTTTAAGGAAAGCAGTGTGAGGCAGACAGAATAAATCCATGTATTTACAAGCGGTTCTGCACTGACTGGGGTACAAAGAGCAAAGGAATAAAAGTTCAACAAAGAGCACATATCTAAAAGATGTTAACACAGCTCATCTTTAACTGAGCGGTGCTGGAGGAGTCTAAAGCCAAGAGATGATTCCTGGTCCAAGAGCTGGAGGCTGTCCTTTCCAGTAGACCCTGAACTACAGAATTTAGAGCTAAAACCCAAGGAGACAGGAGTTCAAAGAGATCCTCCCCCATCAATTTACATTTGGGGTTTAGGTTTGTAAATGAAGCCACGTAGGGATTTAGGAATGGTGTTAAGGAAATGGATAGGAAAGGTGCCGGGCATCTAAAATCAGGAAATTTCTATGGAAATACTTGGCTGCTAACAGGATTTACGGGTATCTCCTTGCTCTAATGGATCTTTCTCTTCCACATAATTTCATTACATGTTGCCTGCCTTTCCTGTGTAGTCCCAGCATCCCTGAAACTTGTGGATTCAGTGGAGGAAGGGGCTTTGGGCGTCAAAGAGTTGCATTGTAATAACAGAGAGGATCAACAGCTCCACATTTAAAGGGTGGCAAACTGGAAACCGGCAGAGCTAGAGAGGAGCTGGTACAAGGCACCAACTGCAGAAGGCAGAGGAAGTGAGAGGCCTTTAACTGCAGGGCAGGATCACCCCAGCCCGTATCTAATGAACCACACGGTATTTACTGCCCGTGTTTGTGTATCACAGGCATTTATCAGCACACTCGCTCTACCCTCCTGTTTTTTCCACTTTTTTTTTTTTTTTTTTTTTTTTTTTTTTTTTTTTTTTTTTTTTTTTTTTTTTTTTTTTTTTTTTTCCTGTGGCTTACATGTGTTAGGCATTTATACTGTTGTGTCATTAAATATTTCAAGTATTAAAGTGCAGACCCCAAAACCCTCTTGGGCTTGGAGACATTCTTCAGCCTAGTCTAACAGAAAGGAGTTTTACCTCTACTGAAGTTGTCTGGAAGTGAGGTGAACAGGAGCACATCCACACATGGGAGAAAGGAAAACTCAGTGCATCCAGAGCCAGGAAAGGTTGGACTCGATGATCTCAGATGTCTTTTCCAACCTAATTGATTCTGTGGAAGCAACACAAGTGTGCGACTTGGCCCGGATTCCTCTGGTTTTTCACTCAGGCAATGTCAGTCCTTCGGCCGGGCTCCCCTGCAGCAGCCTCGGCAGGAAGAGGGCAGCAAAGGAGCCTTTTCACGTTTTTCTTTTTTTTTTTTTTTTTGTTCTCAGCCCGTTGCAGTCGGAGCTTTCCAGCCCCGATTGTGCTAAAACGCTTCTGTACCAGCGTTTTGCATTTCCCAGCCCGGCCTCCCCTCCCCCGCGCCGCCTCAGCCCGCTCCCAGGCCCCCGGATCCAGGGATCGCCCCCATCCCAAGGAACTCGGGGCAAAGGGGCTCTTTTGAGGGGGGTCTCTTCCCCCTGTCCCCCGGCCATGCCGGGCTCTTTTTCCTCATCCCACTCCGTTGCGTTCCCGTGCTCCCCAGTCCTCGGTTTTGGGGGTAGAGGGGCGCTCCCAGCTTGTGAGGGGAAAAAATGGGGCTCTTCCCTTCCACACCTCAGGTTGTGAGGGAAAATGGGGGAGCCAGCTCTTCCAGACCCCAGGTTGTGAGGGGAAAAGGGGAAGTCTGCCTTTTCACCCTCCAGAGTGTGAGGGGAAAAGAGGCTCAGCCCCCATCACCCCGCACGGCGGTTACGAGGGAGTTTATCCCTTACTTCTCCCTGCTCCATCTGCACAGGAAGAGGGGGTGAGTGTCGGTCTGAGGGGTGTCAGCGGGCTCGGGGGGCGTCCGGGCACGGGGAAGGCGCTGTGCCCTGCCCCCTTCCCATTCCCGGCCTGGGACTCTTTCGCTCCCGCCCCCCCTCGCTCCTAAGCGGGAGTTTCCAGGAAGCGCTGAGGAGAGCCGCAGCACCGCACAGCCGCTCGCTCAAGCGCGCTCCTTCCGCCGAGGCCGTGGCAGCAACGCCAAGTAGTCCCAACCGCCTCTTCTCCCCCACTCAGCAGAAGGCTCCGTCCCGCTGTCCCTGTAGCCGGGACCCCGTTACAGGAACAGGGCGGGAGAAGCGTTTCCCTTCCCGCATCCTCGCCGCAACTTCGGGCGGGATAACCGGGATGAAGCGGTGGGGGTGGGGGAGGTGAAAAAGCCCCAGCGCCGGCTGCGGCGGAGGGATCCGGAGGCGCGGAGGAGTGAGGAGGCACGGGGAGCGGGGGGTGAGCGGGAAAACGCGGCGCGGAGCCGGGAACAGCGCCCCCCTCCCCCTGCGGCGGGGGCGGGAACAGCCGCTGAGGGCGGGGGGGGGGGGGGAACCAGCCGGTGCGGGGGGGGGGGGGGGCGCCGTGAGGGGATCGCTGAGGGGGGACGGGGAAGTTTGGGGAAACTTTCCCCTGTTTTGGGGCCGGGATCGCGCCCCAGCCCCGCGCACCCGCTGCGGGCAGGGAGCGCCCTCGGGGCCGCCTGTGCCCCCCTTCCCCGTGTCAGCGCACCTGGGCTCTCCCTCGCTGCCCGCGGAGCCGCGCTCCCTGCGCCCCACAGATAAGGCCCCACCCCGCGGGGCACCCCGGGCTCGCCGCGCTGGATAAGCGGAGCCGCCACGTTGAGGGAAGTTTGCCCCGCGTTTCCCCCCCGCACACCTCGCCCGCGGGTGTTGTGACTCGGCACAGGACCCCGCAAACCCCAGCACACGCTGCCGGTAGCCCTGAGGGGAGCTGCGATCCCCCCCGGCCCTGCCCTTATCCCGGTGACACTCGTGTCCTCCTATTAACCCTGCGGAGAGAGGACAAAAGCTAAACTATGATCCTGCGCTGCTTCACCCCCCCACACACACATCCCGCTGCCGGCTCCATGAGCTTCACATCCTCCTGCTAAGGCTGAAAGGAACAAGAACAAGAGCTGCTGATGGTTGTAAGGCCTCGCTCGGTTCTCCCCACCCCCTCCGCCAGCACCATCCCCCACTGCAGCTCCCATGGACTCGTATCCCTCCCATTAACGCTGGAAGGGGAGGACAGGAGCTCTGGTGGGTTTTTCTCAGGTTTTACTCTGTTTTCTCCCCCCACACACCGACCAGCACCAGCTCCACAGCCCTGCAGAAGTGCAGAGCTGCTTCTGCTACCACATCCATGAATGCCCCTTCCCTCTGAGCTCCAAGGAAAAAGGAAAAAAACCACCCTGATTCCCCTCGTTTTGCTTATTCATTATAAGCGCTTGGCAATGTGCTGTTAAAAACGTGCGATCTCTTGTTTCAGAAGCATCTGTGCTTTAAGAATAAGGTTTTGTCTTCTTGAATGTGGCTCTTCATAATAATCTCTTGAAGTGCTCCATTTTTGTCCTTAAAGTTCTATTTTATTACCTCTTCTGGATCAGCAAAGGTCGGTTTAACCCTTTACAGATGAGAATCGGCAGCCACTTTAGGAAAACGTTGCCCTTCTCTTTATTAATTCATGGTTACAATCATATTTTATGGAGGATTTTCCCCCCAGCTCAGTCCTGCTGCATGCTGAAGGAAGTGTGTGCTTCAGCGCTGATTAAAGTCATGTATGAGTTAATGAGAAGCTTGCGGAGTATGTGAAGCAAGAGAAAATCTTTAACCAGCTCTGCTGTTCCTTCTACATACCATAAACTTGCACGCTGTTACCAGAAGGTGGGTTGAATATGTGTGAAATGCTGCAGTAGGAGACTCTTAAATCGCATCACAGGTGGATGCTCGCTCAATTAATACGTTATCATTTCACAATACCTTGAAGTTAGGTGGGTTTGTTGATTTTTTTTTTTTTAAGTACTTTGAGGCTTCCCATTTCCACATCCATAGAAATGGATGAAAGATGCTGTATGCTCGCAAAGTATTGTTTTGTGGATGGATTTTTTAATTTTGAACAGTCTGTGGTCCCCTGTTCTCACTGCTTCCCGGGTTAATGGATTGATAGCACAGGAGGGACTCTGAGGTGCTGGAGGAACCAGCACTGGTGTCAACATTCCAGTTGTGGGACTTCTAATTTAAGAAACATATTGTCATAAGGAATAAGATCAAGGCTGAATTCTGCTTGCATTTAGGTCCAAATACAAAATAGGCTTTGGAAGGAGTCCCCAGGGAGCACTGAGAGTAATTAAGTAAAAATAAAACCTTTCACTTCAGCCCCCCCCTTCCCCTTTTAACATAGACAAGTCAGTGCAATGCTGGTTTCATTCCACCATTTTCATTATGTGTCCTGATATTTCTTAATTTTGTATTGCGGCTGAAATACTCAGGTGACTTATAATTTCAGTGATTTGGGGGTATTTCTAGACCATACTTTTAAAGAAGTCATCTCACTGTGTCCCAGAAGGAGCCATTGAGCAGTCGTTCTCATAAACAGCACTGAACTTCTTACAGCCTTGCCTTTCCAAACACCTTTTTTTTCCCCCTGTAATTTTCATCCTTAACTGTTGAATTCCCTTTTCTTTACATTAAGTAAATATTTATTAGTACCACTTGGATTTTTTTTTTCATCTTTTTAGAAGAACAGAGCCTTGTCACTGAGACAATCCTTTGGTATTGAGGAGGTGACATAAAAAAGGAGTGAAGGAGAGTTGTCTTGTGCTGGGAAATGCCATTTTTGGAAAACAATACTATAGGAAATGGAAATGAAAAATACATTTTATGCTGGTGGGAACTTGTAATGAGGCTAAGAGAGGATTTAGTGGCTCAGAAAAGCAATGATTACAAGGGGAAAAGTGGGACTTTATTATCCATTTGTAAAAGTTCTCGGGCTGAATATCCTTTTGGGAACCTGAAATTTGGCTCAGTTCTGTTTATGAACATCTGTTGAATGGAATTTTTAAAAGGCACAGATTATAATCTTAGTTTCTGCTGGCTATTTAAGATGATAAAATAAAGCAAAATCAACGTATCTGCAAGTCCATTTTGGGGTTTGTTTTGTTAACGATGAGCTGCATGAATGTTCAGTAGTCTCTACTGCTGATTATTGGGCTCTATATGTGTTCCTGTACATTTTTTCTATTTACATATAAAATATTGCCTCCACCCCTTTCTGTAGCTGTCTAATTCCACTTGAACACTCCTAGAAAGCATTCAGGTTTTTGTAGGGTTTTTTTTTTGTGACAAGAGGCTGTTGGAGTTTGGTGTCTGTGGCATTTCCTTGCCGGGAGCAGGGTGCAGTGTTTGAAGGGGGATGCTGAGAGCTGTTGGGTATTCCCAGAACCGCGGCCGTTTGCTTCGATTCACATCCTGCCCACCTGTCCTGGGCTGTAAATGCAACCACTTTGTGTCCCCTGGCTCAGGATAGCACCACTTCAGCTTCTATTTCTGCAGCCTTTGTGACCTCCTCTTATTCAGGGAGGACTTCACTGTAATTTTCCCTCCTATTATTTTGCCTCTTTTCACAGCCTGATGTTTTTTTGCTGTTGTTTTCTATTCCGAGCGAGGATGCTGTGAGTGCTTCAGCTCAAAATTTAGGTCATCTCCAGTAGAGGAAGGGAGACCTAAAAAGTAAAAATAAGATTTCAATGTGCCTTTAAAAGTGACAACTCTTTGGGGAAAAAATGTACGAGCTCACCTGTATTTTATGGCAGGACAGAAATGGAAGGGGCCTTTCCTGATTCCAGAATGAAAGCTGAGTCTCTCTTTGTGAGTGTGGTTTCTTTTCCCTGTGCTTTCCTGGTCTTTCATTTTCACACCTGATTTGAGCTTTAATCACTCAAATTATTCATAGACTTGCCCTGGAAAAAGAAGACAGTGACCTCTTCCCATCTGGACTAGATGGATTCACCACCAACAATTGCAAATGGATGACTTAATGTTGGGGTTTGCACTTAAAATTTTTAATTCTGTGGTGTCATTGCCTCTCAGGAATTCTGCACATGGTCTTTTCCGAACTGGCACGTTGGAGTTGTACCACAGAGATTTATTTATTGCAGTTTGTCTCTTAGCATTGGGCTGCTGTCTACAAAGAGCTGATGATCCCCTGAGCTGCTGAGTTGCCAGAGCACCTTGCCCAGGACCAGGCCTGTGAGTTATCTTTTTTGTCCGTAATTATATCCAATGTCTTCCATGACAAGGAACCTCAAGACAATTTATGAAATCAAGAGCCACGAAAGCACTGCCCGTTGGAGGTTATGTGATTACAATTTAGCTGTTCCTCAGCCTGAGGGTGCCTGAGGGGACACAGAGCCAACTGCTCCTCAGTTGCTGTGGGTGGCTGGAATCAGCCACTGGAATTGATAGATATCTGTTGCTCTTTCTTTCCTGTTACTTTAGTGGCTTAATTTAAATAATTAAGGAACTTGTGAATATGTTTTTGGTTGGTTTCTGCTCTTCCTAGCAGCTCTCTGCAGTTTTATATGTATTAAAAGTGCTAAGCTTCCTCTGGCCTAGATGTACAATAAATACCTTAGTCAATGCAGTTAAGTCCAGTTTCCTCTATTCACTCAGAAGAGATTTGTTCCTTATCTGAATTGTTCCTCCATTCAGAAGGAGAGAAGCCTTGTGCAGCCAGAGCTCACCTCATCAATCACCCAGACAAATGGAGCTTGGGGCAGAAGAAGATACAAAATGGGAATTGTTGTGATTTAGGCTTCATGAGGTTTGTGGAGTTCTGCTGTGGGAATGTGCTCACCAACCGTTTGAAATACAAATGTTTAGAATGGTCACCATTTTCCAGCTATTCCTTCAGCTGAATTTGCAGTTATCAGCTGGGCCCTGCTCCTCAAGGGTGCCTCCCTTCACCCTTAAACATCCTCTAGTATTTGGTGGCTTCTCTTTAACAGTTATTGGTCTGTTGATACATTTTTTGATCAGAAGGTTAGAAAGGGCTGCTTGGTCTGCACCCCGGCTCTGCTCTGATCCACAGATATGGCACAATCCACTTGCTAATTTCTTTGGCTCTGCCGTGGCAGAGGTGGCTCCCAGCCAGCAATCAGTGCAGCCACAGCAGCTCAGAGACCTGGAGTGCAGCTCCTGGGCCAAACAATGGTAACACACAGGTTACATCCCCTCCCAAGCCCTGGGTCAGCCTGCTTCTGCTGCCCACAACTCTTCTGATGGCTTGCTTTGCTTGGTCTCCTGCCTAACATAAACAATTCATCTCATTTGTCTTCAAAATAAGGTTATTTTCTACTATTAGCTCCTTTATAATGTCTTCATTGCTTACCGTTCTGAAGAGTTGGTATCTTTCCTGTTCCAAGAGTGTTTGATAAATACATTTGTTGGCACCTGTCCTCCCTTCCTCCCTTCCTCCCTTCCTCCCATACTCATCCTAAGGACCCTTCACAACAATCTCACTCAGTTACAAGGGGTCCCTCTGCCAGATTGGAGCTTCCTGTTGGTGTTGTGTCATTTCTGAGCAAGGCAAGGCTGATACCTCTGAGCTCAGTGGTTGCTTCATCTCCTCAGCCCTCCCAGGGGTCTTGCAGGCGCTTTCAGTTCTGCCTCACGTCTTTGATTTGGTGAGGTTCCCTGCTATTTACATTTCTTCACATATATCCTCTTCCTACCATCTGCTACCTTATGTTTTCCTCATCTCTGAAACGTACTGACCATATTTCATTCAATGTTGTTTTACATGATTTTCTTAAAATTTAATTAAAAGGTTCTGAAAGAACAAAGCAAATTAGAATTCACCCATTTTGTGCAGACACTTTATGTGAATGGGAAGCAACTCAATAAAGACTTTCAAATGCCTTGAATGAATTTGTAACCAAAATTCTGTGCAGTGTTTATCCAAAGAGCCTATTATTGAATTCAGGAGGACAGTTTCATTACTGACAAAAGTTAAGGTTGTTATTGAAGAACAGCACCTTCTCTAGAAACTCTCTTTCTTTGGAATTCAGCAATTCTCCTGAGCAGTATTTACTTTGGAGTGAGTGTGTGGCTGTGCCTTGTTAGATAAAAGCTGCAGCACTAAAACTGTTTTACTGAACTTAGCTCCTGACCTGCCTTCTGAGGCCACAGCTACAAAGGGATGATACATCAATCTAGTTTGTTTGATCTAATTACAGCTGTTTAACCATCCTGAGCACAAGTGCACTCACCCCACTTTGTTATGCTGATTTCAGGTATTTTCACTGTTAATCGGGTGCACAGTGCTTGGTTCTTTCTTGTATTAATTTACCTCTCAAGATATTCTGGGCAGTTATCCCACAGAGAGGTGTTCTGCTACTCAGCTGTGTGTTATTTTTCACAATGTGTTGACAGGGAATTCTCAGGAATTTGGGGATTCTGGGGGTCAACCTGAATGACTACTCCTTTTCTCCTGACATCTATTGTTTTTTTCCCTGTGCTTCTTTTCTGAAAGGCTGCAAGGTTCATGATGAAGCAAGTGGTAAATCCATTTAAACATCCCTTAACGTGCAGAAGTCCATTACCACCTGTGGAAGAGCAGATTTCTGATTATTTCTGACTGAAGTCTCTGCGGTTTACGTCAAGAATATTGTCATGGGATCTCTTTTAATGTGTATGTATGATCTTTTGTGCTTGTAAGGTATCCTCTGGTGAGAACACTGAGAAAAACAAAAAGGTAAAGAAAAGAAGGAGGAAACCACCCCAGCTGAAGATGCTTTTTGGCTCCATGCTTGTGTGTGTTACTGTTTATAGGAAGGGGAAGAGGTGGCAGATCCAAGGAAGCTCAGAAGAGTGGGATGGAAAGATCTCCAGTGGGCAGGCATGTGGGACAGAAGATCCCAGAAGGGCAGCCCTGGTTTTTGCTATTTTGCTAAAGCAGGTACATTTTGTGTGGAGAGGAGAAGGGATGTGAGATGAAAGAAACGGGTGGTACATGCTCCTGGTGGTTCCTTATGATGGAAACAGAAAGACTTCAGGAAAACCAGGCCCGTGGTTTGAGCTTTTCTGGTCTTCTGGGAGGTGCAGTCCTCTGGGATTTTGGGTGCTATTCCCTTGGAAATCTCCCTCCTTGAAGAGTTCCCTGCAGAGCAGGGGAGCTGAGGTGACAGTGACAGTGTGAGCAGGCCTGGCCACACAAGGATCAGTGCTGAGTCCTCCAAGCACTGTGTGACCCAGGGAATGTGCTGAGCTGGTGTGAGCTGCAGGCCCACGTTATTCACCCTCTGTTCCGTGGTTCTTCACGCTCCTGTGACCCGGATGAATTTACCAGGGAGCTGAGCAGGGTGTTCAGTTTTCCTGCCTGTGCTTCTTACACTTTTGCCCACCCTAATCCAGTTCTTTGCGCCATGATGCAAACTCTAATTATAAATCAAATCATACAACCTGCCTTCTCAAACTCTTGTCTCATTCAGAGTTTTCTTTTATCCTTGTTATTTGATGTTTGCTTCCATATTTTATTTATTGCATATAATTCAAGTGCTGCAGTAAATACAGAATTGCTAATTGTAATGGATTTTTGTTACACTTATCACTACAGTGTCTGAATACTTTTTAACCACATGAATCTTCACAATATTGCAGAGATTTTCCTCTCATTTCACTGATTAAAAGTGGGGAAAATAATGACAAAACTGTCAAAGTTCTCCACTGGGTCTATGTTCCCCAGAGGAAAGAAGGATTCTTTAAAATCTAGTTTTTCTAATAATAAGGCATCCTATTCTAGCAGTCCTTTTAATTGTACTCAGGCCTTTAGATATGTATTTGTTGCTAAGATAACCCTGGAGTTCAAATACTGACTTGAAGCCATAGTCTGTGTATACAAACTCACCCCATCACCCCTCCCTTGTTGGAGTTTGCTGAAAGGAAGCTTCACTTCTCTCCTGACAGATTCCTTGCTCTTGTAACCAGCTCAGGGAGCTTTCTCTGTGATTATTCCAGTTATCATATGTCATTCTTGAATAGAAACTGTACCCAAAATTCTGTAAGAGAGCTGTTGCCATAACATCTGGATGTGCCTTACCTGGTCGTTAGATCCCATTTGTCATCTTCGTTTCTGTGACTAAATAACACTCCCGAGTCTCCATCCTTCCCTGGCTGTGCTGAATTCCCAGGTTACCAGAGTTTTGGCTGTCAGTCCCCCTGTGAACTGCCTTGTGATTTGCATTAATCTTATTACTGCATTCCACCAGCCCGTTCCTCAGGGTTCCTGTGCTGCTCCAGAACCTCATCCAGGTCTTCATTCAGGATGTTCCAGTCTCCTGCACTGGAGCCCTTGGGTGTTGTCAGTCACCACCTGCATTAACACTCTTTTTCAGTTCCTTGTGCTCACTTCAAGCCCATCAACAGCACCAGTTCTGAGACCAAAGCCTCAGGAGCTTTCCAAGCACTCGCTCTCCAGCCCAAACCTTCCCATTTCAGCACAATCCAGCTCTGGATTTTTAGTCATTTTTTATTTTACCCACAAAACTTCTCTTGCACTGACCTTCATCTTTTCCAATTTGACTGCTATTTTTACGTGATGCACCAAACCAAACATTTTGTTGATTTGGGGATGGGTGAGATCTACTCTGTCTTCCTTTACCCAGGAAAATTTGCTGCCCCATCAAAGAGAGGCATCAGCTTTGGCATTATTGCAACCTTTGTTGTATTTTATCTCTTTACTTTCCTCTACATCTCTTCCCCCTCCTGAGGACGAATAATTTAAGTTTTGCATCTTGCTGAGGTCAGGTTAATTAGCCTCTCGTTGTCTGGACATTACTTTCACCATCTTTGCCTTGATTTTGGGGTGGGTTTTTTCCTTTCTCCCCGTAATAGGATGTCAAATTTAGATTATTTTTGTACCTCTAGAAGTGGTGGAAATTAATTCGCTCATTTGCATCACAACTCAGCTGTAGTGCTTCATGTTTGGGTTGGGTTTTGTTTATTGGTGGGTGTTTTGGTTAGGGTTTTTTTTTTATTTTTATAGAAAGTTGCTGCTGTGCCTATTAAACAGGTTTAAAAAAAAATTTTTTTTGAGTAATTGCAAAGTTCTTTAAAGCATAATGATAATGAGCAGTTTCTTGAGCTGAATCCAGGGCTCCGTTATCCTGTGGGATGCTGATAAGTGCCAGGGGCTCGTTGCAGCCCGTGGCTCATCACTGCCCTGCAGAAGTTCTGCTCCTGGTGCTGCCTCAGCATTATTTACTGCTCTCAGCCCTGTGTTTAAACATCACGAAGCGTGCTGGGCACTCTGCACACATGGATGAGGCAGTCCTGCACAAAACACTCCCTAAAAATAGAGAAGGTAGGTGAGGCAATAGGAAGGCAGTGATTGCAGAGGGTCGGGCTGGGCAGGGAGGGCTGCAGTGCCTGCAGGAACCCGCCACAGGAAAGCCCGAGGGCAGTAACTGTATTTCCTGAAGCTGGGAAAAGTAATTTTTTAAAAACTTTGTTTCATAATACCGTTAATTGCACCTTTTCTGACAGCTGTAATGACTCTGACTCCTCCTGATCACGTTTCACTCAGGATCTAATTCTAAAGATTGGGATGCAAGTAACAACCATTACGTGTTTGGATTTGGAGTGGTTTTTTGGGTTTTTTTGCCAGATATACTCAATACTTTCATAAATACTTGAAAATTATGTCTTTTTTACAATTCTTCAGTGTGTGTGGAGCTCAGTTTTACAGAGGAAGCTCAGGCCAATGCCTTTGTTTTAGTGCAAAATGTGTGTGATATCCCAGCCTGTACCAGCAGTGCTGTTGCTGAGGTGTGATCACGGGCCTCTCTCAAGGCACAGCTAACTGATAGATAAAAATGACCTCATTTCACAGTCCCGCAGCTGAACTCCGAAAGTTCCAGCCAAGCTGGTCAGAATGTGTTTGAATTTTTGTTTGTGAGGAAATGTCACCGAGGTCCCTACTTGTGACGTTCAGAAGGTGACTTTAGGCCACGTGAGCTCGAGGTGGAGGCCTGGAGCAGAAAATCCATCCCCGCACAGGGACCCTGAGTGTGTGGGAAGCCCCAACCCTCCCGGGGGGGGGGCTGATTACAGAATTCAGATTGGAATTACACATTCATGTGAGGCTGCTGAAAGGTAGATAAGGACAATTACTGTTTGACCCTTTCTTGGCCAATGTTTGCAAGCTGCTCAACCCCGTGTTTATGTGGAATGTTGCGATTGTTTTGGGTTATTCATTTTTTCAGCAGTTATTTGTGCCTGCCTTTGTACAGCTGGAGTGAAGGGACGTTACTAAGTGTTCTCCCCATAGCATGAATATTTAATAGTTTGTGTGTTCCTTCTCTGTGTCGTGTGTGTGCCGATATAATACCAACAAAATCTCTTAAAATCAGTTTCTGCAAGAGATTTTCAAAGCACATCATGTAACTGAGTCACAGTGCTGAGTAAACCACTATTGTAGAATTTCACCTAAGGTCTGAATTTGCCAAATGGTGATATTTTGCAAATAAGCACAGATTCTGCTAACTTCCCCTTGAGATTTTATTCCAGTCTGATCCAATTTCCCAGTATGGACGAACTGGTGTCTCTTAGAAAATAAAGGAGAAATGTTTAGCCTATTGAAAAGAGGATTTTCTTTGTTTCTCAGATGTGCAGATACTCATGTCCTGGAGCTCAGAGCTGCTCTGAGTGTGCTGGGCGGATCCTGCAAAGTGCTGAGTGCATGGCTAACTTTAAGGGAGTAGATCCTTAAAATCACCGCGGCTGCTGATGTTTAAAATTACGCAGAGACTTTAAGTACTCTGATGGCCCCCGGCCAGTGGCTTTCACATCTCCTAGGACTGAGCCCTGAGGAGACGCCGTGATCAGCTGCAGCTCAATTTCCTTCTCCCCTTTTAAATATAAGGTTTAAAGCCCAAATTCTGACAGCTGTTTAATTAAAGATACTCATTTTAACCGTGAGGAATGTGATATGCAGCGGCGCTACGCCTGCTTCCTTTCTTTCTGCCTCTCCTGGCATCCCAGCTCACTCCTCTCAGCGTTAGTGCAGGGCTTGCAGTTTTCACTGCTGCTCCGTTCCTGCTTTATCCTCTTCCATCTTTTCCATCTGCTTTATTCTGTTTGGAAAATGGCAATGTAGAATGTGTTTGGTGTAACCTTAATCCTGACCAGCATCTGGGCTCCGTTTGAAAAAAAAAAAGCATCTACTGCAAGGAAGGTTTCTGTATATGTTTCCCCACTTTGCTAAAACAAAGTTGGGGGGCGGGGAGGGGCAGAACCCAAAATAACCATTGCAAAATCATATTAATTTTAATTGACTTGTTAATTAATATGCGGGTTTTAATGTGTTTTCCTGCCTACATGGACAAACCGTGGGGTTTGTGCTCTCACCTCTGTGCGGGTGGGGGTCGAGTCAGAGGTAAACCGGATTTGGACCATTTTGGGAAAGGAGAGAAAGGGGGGAGGGGGGTGGTTATTTAAATCTGCTTTTAACAGCCTCGCCGCTAATTACTCCCAATATGTAAAAGTTAACGCCACCATAAAACACGGGATGCACTGAAATTCCTGCCTGATGCTTCCTGACGTTTCCCTGGTAAACTTTCCCATGCCCGCAGAGGTCCCGGTGCGGGGCGGCCCCGTGGGACACGGCGGGCACCGGGCAGAACCGGCACCGGGCAGGACCGGACCGGGCAGGACCGGACCGGGCAGGGCAGGACCGGACCGGACCGGGCAGGGCAGAACCGGACCGGGCAGGACCGGACCGGGCAGGACCGGGACCGGGCAGGACCGGCACCGGGCAGGACCGGACCGGGCAGGGCAGAACCGGACCGGGCACGGACCGGGCAGGGCAGAACCGGCACCGGGCAGGACCGGACCGGGCAGAACCGGGACAGGGCAGGATGTGCTGGGCGGATCCTGCAAAGTGCTGAGTGCATGGCTAACTTTAAGGGAGTAGATCCTTAAAATCACCGCGGCTGCTGATGTTTAAAATTACGCAGAGACTTAAGTACTCTGATGGCCCCCGGCCAGTGGCTTTCACATCTCCTAGGACTGAGCCCTGAGGAGACGCCGTGATCAGCTGCAGCTCAATTTCCTTCTCCCCTTTTAAATATAAGGTTTAAAGCCCAAATTCTGACAGCTGTTTAATTAAAGATACTCATTTTAACCGTGAGGAATGTGATATGCAGCGGCGCTACGCCTGCTTCCTTTCTTTCTGCCTCTCCTGGCATCCCAGCTCACTCCTCTCAGCGTTAGTGCAGGGCTTGCAGTTTTCACTGCTGCTCCGTTCCTGCTTTATCCTCTTCCATCTTTTCCATCTGCTTTATTCTGTTTGGAAAATGGCAATGTAGAATGTGTTTGGTGTAACCTTAATCCTGACCAGCATCTGGGCTCCGTTTGAAAAAAAAAAAGCATCTACTGCAAGGAAGGTTTCTGTATATGTTTCCCCACTTTGCTAAAACAAAGTTGGGGGGCGGGGAGGGGCAGAACCCAAAATAACCATTGCAAAATCATATTAATTTTAATTGACTTGTTAATTAATATGCGGGTTTTAATGTGTTTTCCTGCCTACATGGACAAACCGTGGGGTTTGTGCTCTCACCTCTGTGCGGGTGGGGGTCGAGTCAGAGGTAAACCGGATTTGGACCATTTTGGGAAAGGAGAGAAAGGGGGGAGGGGGGTGGTTATTTAAATCTGCTTTTAACAGCCTCGCCGCTAATTACTCCCAATATGTAAAAGTTAACGCCACCATAAAACACGGGATGCACTGAAATTCCTGCCTGATGCTTCCTGACGTTTCCCTGGTAAACTTTCCCATGCCTGCAGAGGTCCCGGTGCGGGGCGGCTCCGTGGGACACGGCGGGCACCGGGCAGGACCGGACCGGGCAGGGCAGAACCGGCACCGGGCAGAACCGGACCGGGCAGAACCGGGACAGGGCAGGATCGGACCGGGCAGGGCAGAACCGGACCGGGCGGGGCAGAACCGGCACCGGGCAGGACCGGACCGGGCAGAACCGGGACAGGGCAGGAGCGGACCCGGCAGGAGCGGACCGGGCAGGACCGGACTGGGCAGAACCGGGACAGGGCAGGACCGGGACAGGGCAGGAACACGGGATGCACTGAAATTCCTGCCTGATGCTTCCTGACGTTTCCCTGGTAAACTTTCCCATGCCTGCAGAGGTCCCGGTGCGGGGCGGCTCCGTGGGACACGGCGGGCACCGGGCAGGACCGGACCGGGCAGAACCGGGACAGGGCAGGACCGGGACAGGGCAGGAGCGGACCGGGCAGGACCGGACCGGGCAGAACCGGACCGGGCAGAACCGGGACAGGGCAGGACCGGACCGGGCAGGGCAGAACCGGCACCGGGCAGGACCGGACCGGGCAGAACCGGGACAGGGCAGGACCGGACCGGGCAGAACCGGACCGGGCAGGACCGGGACAGGGCAGGACCGGACCGGGCAGGACCGGACCGGGCAGGACGGGCACGGCCGGTGCCCCGCGGTGCCCCCGGCCCGGGCAGGGCAGGGCAGCTCGGTGCGGCCGGGGCCGCTCCGGGGGCTGCTCGGGGCCGGCCCCGGGGCTCGGTGGCCGCGGACAGCGGCGGGGCCGGGGGCACCGGGAGCGGGCACGGCTCGGGCACCGCGGGGCTCCCACACAGAGCCAGGTCCCATGGGGGGGTGGCACCGCTCCCACCCGGCCCCGCTGCGCTTCCCGGGGGGCCAGCCCCGACCCCCGAGCCCCCTTTTCCATTCCTGCTGCTGTTGGATTTTCCCGAGCCGCATCTGCTCCGCGCTCCCAGCCCGGGGCTCTTGAACTTCAGTCCCCGGCAGCCACAGAGGTCGCTTCTGAGCTCCAAGCGAAGCCTTTTTTTTTTCATTCATTATTTATTTATTTTTCCCCCAACTCAGGCTCTCCCTCCCTCATGGCCGGAGTGGAAAAGCACGTTTAAATCCCGAACTCGGCTTTCCCACGTGGTGTCTCGCTGAGCTGCTGTCACAGCCACGCCGCGCTCTCACAGGGCACCGGAGCTTCTGCCCTGCCCTGCCGGGAAGGCACAAGGTGATGAACATTTTTAATCAAATCGTTTTAATCACTAAACCCCAAACTTGTGCTGAAAAATCCACTCGCCTCGTAATCAGGCGCTTGTTTTTTAATTCCACCTGGACCGAGTGTACAAATAATGAGGGGATTAGTTCTGCTCCCCCTTCCTGGGTGCCTGCTAAAGGGATGGATGTTTGTCAGCGATTTGGGGGTTAATTCAGACAAGTTTATTTCACATTCTAGGTCTGCATACATGCAAAGAGCACGCGTGGTTTGGGGTGAAGGATTAGCGGCGTGTGCAGGGGAACAAAACCAATTGTGGATGTGAATATGGGATGTACTGGATGTGTGTCTAAGCATTAAATCGAGGGGGGGCTGGGTTTTAGGTGACTTTTCACCCCATTCCGGGATCATGGTCACAATGCACCGCGTTTCAACACTCACTGGGCAGAAAGGGACACAGAGGAGAGGCAGGGCAGTACCCCAAATTGCATCTGGGCTTCAGACTGCGCTGCAATCTCTAAGGGAGGGTAAGCCCGACCTTTCATTATTCCGTTTAAACAGGCCTAGAGCACGCCACATTTTTAAGGCCTTTTCCCTGGTGTCTCTAGGAGGCAGCCTTCATCGAGCGAGGAGAGCGAATCTTGGCAAAAAGAGCACCGAAGGATGTGAACCCCTTGGAAAATTCCACTTCCTGCCCAGCACTGCGTGTCCTTGGGTCTCTCACTCATTCCCATGCACTTAACGAGGGATTTCTGCCTCAGGCTACCACACCAACTTTCTAAATAAATGCCGCGCACACCCGAGCGCGGTGCTCTGCAGTTAATCTCAGCCCAGCACCAGCTCTCTCCTCTCTTCCTACTTCCCTCCATTTTATTTCTCCGCTGGTTTTTCTCTCCAGCAGGCTCCAACTCTCTCTCCTGCTGAACTTGCCGGGAACAAAAGGCTCCGTTCCCGATCCAGCCCGCAGTTGCCGTGAGAAACTTCCTCGCCAGCGCTGTCTGTCGCTCCGCTCTCCCTCCCTCGCTCCCTCCCTGCCTCGGGAAAATGGCAGTGCGGGAGCTTGATGAAAAGGGGGAAAAAAAACCTTCTTTCTCAGCGCCTGCCTCTCTGGCAGCATCCCCCCTCCCCAGTCGTGACGCCTGAACTCAAACTTCTCTAAAAATACACTTTAGGAGGGCAGATTTTCACGGGAAGGGATGTGTTTTTTACACCCCACTGAAAAGAGGCGCCGAGGTGGGGGAAAGGCCGAGGGACAGCTTTTTCCAGACAGGAGAACCTGCTGCTGACCCCTCCCGCACGGCATCGCCAGGTCCCAAGGATTTGGAACACAATAAGTTTTCCTTCAGTGGGAAAATCCAGGCCCAGAGTTCAGATCTTTCTCTTTTTGCAGATTTAAAAGCCTTTTTTCCCCCCCTTTTTTAACTCTTCACAGTGGGGTTCACAGCAGAACGCGGTCGCTCTGCCAACCCACCCGAGAGCTCCCAAATCTGGTGGGATCCAGGGAAAACAGAAGGTTGGCTCCGGATCCAGTGCAGGGGTTTTTGCAAACTCCAGTCCACGTTTTGATTTTATTTTTTGCCCTTTTTTTTTTCCTTTTTTTTTTTTTTTTTAGTACATTTACTCTTCCTTCCCCGAGCTCACCGGAGCGCTGCTGTCCGAGGGCAGCCGGGGTGCACCCCCCAGTATACAGAATAAACGGGGTTCATATTTCGTTGCACTTCATTATTGCTTTCCTGCCCTTCCCGATATCCCCCAGTTTTCCCTGGAATTAAATTCCACCCCCACCCTTCCTTTCACTGCGGGCTGAGCGCTGCTGTCCTGGCTCAGCACACACGTGCCCCCCAAACTTGCTCCGTGGCGCTTTTGCCCCGCTGGGGCGGCTCGGTGCGGGCGGGGGGCGCGGGGCACGCGTGGCCCCAGCCCCGGCTGCCCCCGGGGGTCGCGCAGGATGCGCGGGGGCTGCGCTCCCGCGTCCCTTCCCCTCCGCAAACTCCGCTTCGCTTTTTCCCCCTCCTCGCCAGTGCTGCTAAAATAATGCATTTCCTCGAGTCAGGCCGAGTCCACTTTCCTGCCTTAAAATGCATCCAAAGTTTCGCAGATCGCTGTCAGATGTCACCAGCGGGCTCTCGAGCCGGGGCTCGTCCCTGCCCGGGGGAACCTGGCGTGGGAAGCAGCAAAACCCCCGGAAAATCCACGCCTGCCTTGAGCTGCTGCATTCAGCAAAGGGACAGAGTTACCTTCGCCTGGCAGTCACAGCGCTGAGCCATTGTGTCTCCCCAGAAAGCGAGATTATACAATATTTTAGCATTATGTTGAAGTGGATAAGTGAGCCTTGTCTCACACGATGCCCAGCAAACAAATAATTCAAATAATATCAATCTGAGTGGTGATGGAGCCACAAGGAGAGTGCTTAACCCAGATACAACAAACACTGCAAGGGATAGGCTGGGCAAATATAAACACATTGAAAGGAAATGTGATTTTCTTTAGCAAAAAGCCTGTAAGAGAAGCTGAGGTACAGCCAACAACCCTCCCAGCTCCATTCCATCTTTTGCAGGGCGCCCCATGGATGATAATAGATGGGTCTCTTGTTCTCGGGTCCAGCGTGCCCATCCCCGCACGCCGTGCCTCTGGGTGCGGGGGAACAGCATCCTTCCTTCCCCACGCACTGCATCCATCATCCATCCCTGCCCAGCTCCCCTCGCTCTGCCCTGCTCGCGCTCCTCCAGACTTTATCTCGGGAGCTGCAGCCGGCTCCGGCAGCCGGATCCAGTCCGTGTTTGTAGCCAGGGAAAGGCTGGATAATGATAACTTGTGTGTGCGAGCTGAGCCGAGGCAGCGCTGACTTTAGTCCGGTTTCCATGTCAACGATTCAGTCCATATTTGCCATCACACAGTTGGCAGAGCCCGATTTTTTTTTTTTTTCCTGGAGGGGGGAGACACTACTCCTGTTTCTAGTACTCTAATCTAGACCAGGTTTCCTAAACTGCCTTAGTGCTGGGTTAAATGGCACGGCCACCTTCATGAAGGAGACTTCCAGTCAGGAGGAGGCAGCGCGGTGGCGGTGGCCTGCAGTGCCATGTGAGCGCTGCTTCCCAGCCTATCTGAGAGCCAGGAGCCGGGCCGGGCTGAGCGAGGCGTGCTCGGCTCCTGGGGACACGGCCAAGGGAGCACGGCCACCGCTGCTGCCGAGCGGGGACGGCTCCGGCCGGCAAAAGTGAGGATGTGCCGCAGGGAAAAGTCGCTGCTGGTCCCGTGGATGGCCGCGACATCCCGGGACGGAGGGAGGATTTTCAGCTCTTAGGTGGCAATGTTGTTAAGAACTGTGCTGTCATCTGCTTCCCAGTCCTCATGGCTGGGAATTCACTGAATGCCTCAGTATTGAGTAAAGTGCCAGGGCCTCATTGATGAGGCGTATTCCAAAATCTGCTGCAGCTTTCACAAACATTTGGTAAAGTGAGTGTCTCCTCATTGTGTGGGTGGCTGGGGAATCCAGGCTGCTTTTCACATTACTATCAACACCGGGTTTCATAGTCTGACATAGTGCTCCTTGGAGGGGGTTCCAAAAGACGGACTCAGGTAGAGAGGTGTGAGCTCGGGATCTTTGCCTGGATGCAGGCAAGTGCTTCCCAGGCTCCTGGCGTGAAGCGGTTAAACTTTTGGTGATGCTCAGTGAGATGCTGGGGCTTTGCTCCCTGAAGCAGACCTATCTTTGGGGCTGGGGAGGTGGGTGCTTGAATGGTTCTGGGATAAAATGGCAGAATTCTCTCCAGTCTGTGGAGAGAAAGTGCCAATGAAACGCCCAAGGAATGGTGTTTTGGTCCTGTGGGGCACCATGGACATTGACAGAACACTGGGCTTCACTTCTGACAGTCCAGCCTGATACTGGAGGAGTTTTCCCCCTCTTCTCCTTTGTCTTTCCAGAACCCAGGATTTCATCAAATAACTCCTCTGATAAGAGGATGTAGATCAATTTTCATTCTAGTACATTCCAGTTTCCAAACTCTTCTGAAGAAGAACATATTGGTGCTTTTTTCCTTCCCTGTGGTCCACACATCTCACTAAAGCCACAGGGCCTCCCATGTGAGATTTCAGCATTGTAGTGGGGCTCCAACACTCGAGAAGGCCTTGAGTACTATCACAACACCAATATCATCATTTATTACCCATTTTTTCCTAAAAGTTTATTTACAGCGGAGGAGACAGGCTGACCAGGCAATTTGCTGGATGGAATCTGCTCCATATTGCACAGTCAACTGTGCAGGCTGAGAAATGGCAAGGGTGCTTTGTTTGGAGCCTGAGGGGCAGTTTCTTGCTCTAGAAAACACTTAGAATTTTGCTATTTATCACCATATCCCACCTCCCCTCCCACTTTCCAGCTTTGGAATAACCCCTTTGTTCCGCCACCTGCACTCTAGATGATAAATATTTCATATTATAAGTTTTATAATGGGCGTGAGGGCTGAGTTGCTGTCAGTAGACACTGACACCTTCACCTGATCCCCAGCAGGCACACGGTGCTGGCAGGGACCCAGTGCTGCTGCCCAAGGCTTCTCCTCCTGCGCTGGACTCGCGTTTGCTCCCTCCCAGTGGGATTCCTTGCGGTGTGTCCTGCTGGGTGCTGGGCTGGGGCCAAGCCCTGCTTGCTGTCACTGCACAGGGGTCACTTCTGCCACATTATCTGCTCTGTGGTGATGTTCTAAAATGGCAGCTTCAGACCTCAGAAGCTTTTGGCTCCCCACCTACTGTTTTCTGATGTTTTGTCCCATCTTAAAGTCGTATTTACTTCAACTTCACTTTTCTAAGTATTTCCATATTTCCGAAGGACACCAGCACATGGGACTCAGGCCTAACCCACACCATGCCTGCCATTTTCACCAGACATCCAAGTCCTGATTTCTAAGAACTTGGTGTTTATAACCCGAATGACTCATGTTTTTGTCCCTCCCGTGCCCTGCTGCAGCCCTGCACCATCTGAAGTTAAACAGGCAGGTTCAGACCCCGCTGGCAGAGGCCAGGCTATGTCCAGGACAGAGCTCCAGGTACATTGCTCTCCTCCCTCTTCCCGCTCTGCCAAGGCCTCGGGGATCGAGGAGGAGGTGGGAATCTGGGTCTGAAAGGGTTGCAGAAGAGCATGGCCCAGTTCCCAGTTCACCTCTTGACAGCCGGGGAGCTCCAGCACGGCGCTGGGCTCTGACTGCCAGCGCATCCTGTCCCGCTGCCCAGCGTGTTGTGTCTAGATGCGCTCAGGTGGTTTTGGATCTGGGAATTCCTGGTTCCGTGCCCACCGCCCTCGCCTTGGCAGGAGCGGGGAGCCGGACTTTCTTGGATTGTCCGCGCGTGCAGTCACAGCCCTGGCGCGCCGCCAACGCCTTTTCCAGAGGGACACGGCCAAGCGGAGAGGAAATGACAACCGCTAACAGTTCGCAGAGGGCTTAATTCTAAATGGAATTTCTAGGGACAAAGAAGAGGCGCTTCGGTAACCCACGGGCACAAACCCCAGGGCCGGCGGCCGCCGAGCGGCCAGCACGCCCGCGGAGCGCTCGGGCCGCGGGACATCGCCCGCTGCCCCCGGGGATCGCCCCGGGCGGCTCCGGGGGAGCGCTGCCCCCCGGCCCCCGGCTCCGCCGATCCGCCGCGGGTTTTGCGGGCGGCAGCTCCGCGCCGGCGGCGGCCGGGGCCGGCCCGCTCCTCCTTTGTGACGGGGGGGAGGCTCCGCTCCGGGCCGGGCTGCGCTCCGCTCCGGGTTTGGCAGGCGGCCGCGGCGCTGGGTAAAATGGCAGCGCTGAGCCTCGTGTCGGACTGAGCCCGCTCGGCCGAGCAGAGTCGGAGCTCGCCCAGCCCGCCCCCGCCGCCGCTCGGCCCCGCTCCGGGGACGGCGCCCCTTTCTCCGCCGGCTGCAACCGAGGAGGTACAGCGGGGCCAGGCCCCGGGAAGCCCAGCCCAGCGGAGCCCTCCCCGCCTCGCCGAGCAGGCCGGGGGGGAATGAGCCCCCGCTGCCCTGAAGAGCCGCCCGCCGCCGCCTGAGCGGGGAGAGCAGAGCAGCGAGGCCTCACGCCGGCCGGCCAGGCAGGGAGCAGCTCGGGGGGACCGGTCCGGGGGGGTGGCCGGGCGGGGAGGGGGGGGATCATGGCTGCTCAGGTCGCCCCCGCCGCCGCCAGCAGCCTGGGCGCCCCGGCTCCATCCGAGCTGAAGAAAGCGGAGGCGCAGCAGCGGGATTGTCCCCCGGAGGAGGCGGGGGGTGAGGCGGCGGCGGCGGAGCGCGGCGAGAAGCAGGCGGAGAGCGAGGGCCCGTCGGGGAAGGAGCTGCAGGACGGGGCCGAGAGCAACGGAGGGGGCGCAGGGGCCGAGTCCGACCTGAAGAGCTCGAACGGGAACCCGGGCCCCAGGCCCGCCGCCGCCGCCACCCTGAACAATAACCTCCCGGAGCCGCCCGGTGGCGGCGGCGGCGGCGGCAGCGACGGGGTGGGGGCGCCGCAGCCGCCGCCGCAGCAGCAGCCGCCCCCTTCCCACCCGGCCGCCTTGCCCCCGCCAGCCTACGGCTTCGGGCAGCCCTACGGCCGGGGCGCCGCCGCTGCCTTCCACCAACATGGCGGACAACAAAGCCCTGGCATGGCAGCGCTGCAGAGCGGGGGCCTGGAGCAGAACTACCCGGGGCCGGCGGGAGCCCCCGCGGGGCCGCCCCCTCCGCAGAACTCGCACGGCGCCGGGGCCGAGCACGGCTTCCCCAACCACCAGTACAACTCCTACTACGCGGCCGGGCGCAGCGCCGGCTCCTACCCGCCTCCCCCCCAGGCCTACGCCCTGAGCTCCC